CGTGGAGTTCAAAGAAGCAAGAAACTGTGGCTCTATCAACCTCAGAAGCTGAATATGTGGCTGCAGGGGCTGCAGCAAAGCAGGCTTTATGGCTAAAGAAGTTGCTGAAAGACTTATGCTGCAATCAAGAAGAGGAACCTTAGATTTGGTGTGACAATATGTCAGCCATAGCCATGGCAAAGAACCCTGCATTTCACTCGAGGACCAAACACATTGATGTTCAACACCACTTCATAAGGGAGCTTGTAGCTGAGAAGAAAATATCACTGCAATTTTGTGGAACTGACTGGCAAAACGCAGATTTGTTTACCAAGGCACTGAATCATGCTAAGCATTATCATTTCATGAAAAGAATTGGAATATGCAAACTTGGATCAAGGGGAGGTGTTGACTAATGTGATCAAGATTGCATAAAGCCATGCATACGTGGAATTTAGTCATTTAGTTATTCAATTATTTGTTAGTTTGGTTAATTGAATAAGTCAATTATAGTTAGCTGATTCTTAGGAGTTGTTGGAGTCATTGTAATTCCTTTAGTTTGAACGTGTGAACATGCCTTAAACTTAGGAGTAAGTTGAGGTTTATGTGCAGCACTTTGTTTGCTTTGTAATGCCTATAAAGGCTTATTTCGTTTCAGTCTAATATATGAGAGTTGAAGCATTCATATCCAATATATTATCAATATAGCTTGCACCAACAACTACATCGGATACGATACCGGCCCCTATACTGTCCAACGATGAAATTTTCTCTGAGGGCACCCAACTTTTAACTTCTTCTGTTTCAGGTCATAGTGAAGAGGAAATCCTTGAAGGCTTTACACAAGTAAAAAGCAGAAGAAACAAAAACATGAGCTCCCAAGGCACACCGAGCGTGGTGCAGGAGGATGTTCAACAATATGCTTGGATATCCCAGGTCATCCTCAATCCCTTGAAGAGGAGGAATATTTGGAAGGCTTTACGGAAGTTACTAGAAGAAAAAACACACACAAACGCCCGGCCAAACTCCCGAACGAAGACCAACAAGACACTCAACAATACTACCAGGTGGGATGGACTTCACACCCAATGGTCACAAGAAGCCAATAAAAAAACCTCAACATGAATCAGATTATTACTTATACCCAATGGACCCGAAGCTTGACTCCACACAACTTGGCTGCAGCTCTCAAGCGTTATAAATCTTTCCACCGGAGGCAAAAACTTACCAACCCTATCCTCAGATGGCGGTCAAGTTTGACAACAGATACAATAGGAATATCTCAACTTCTTTTGGAATTCCAACTCAAAATTTAAATTGCTAATTTTGTTTAATTTTCTTGTCTGTTTTATTTTATCTCTTTCATTTAACTTTTTATTAATAAATTCGGGATGTGTTCGCCGGCACTCCCCCACCTAGTGTGGTTCACTCTGAGATTTTAAAAAGAAAATCAAAATCAAGATTTTCAAATTTATTACGTAGTACAGAGTACTTTGTTAGTTACACTTTTGTCTATATGTAAAGTAATCACTTTTTTAAAATGTAAACTTAAACTTAGTTATTTTAAGAAAAAGGATTAACACAAAAATATTACTATTCCGTAATAATAAATAGGTTTTGGATAAAAAAGTCTTGTTTTTGAGATTCAAAAAATGAGAGTAATTAAACACTCAATTTGGAAAAACTTAAATCCATTTTACTTTATTACCCTCGCCTTATATACCATGTGAGTACTTACAAAATCACAATTTTTACTTTATTACTCCATATTATTATTTCTCACACCTATTAAACTTGTCAAAGTTTAAAGGAACAAAGATAATATTAATTAAAATACTTGATCAAAGTTTATTACTCCGTATCATTCGCTCATAGTCAAATATAAGGCTAACAACAAGTCAGCAACCCAACTCCCTCAATAGATCAAATTTCCCACCAATTTATACATATCAATTAGTCAATTCAATTTTTACCACAATCCGACATCGTCAATATATCCAACCATCAAAGTCTCTCTTATATAAATCCTTGCTTTTATCTTCATACACTAATTTTTTCATATTGTTTTGCGAATAATTATGATTTTAAAAGTCAAACATTCGATTTAAAAAATAAATAAATTTGGAATTTAATTTTTTGTTGTTGATTTAGTCCTATTTTTGAAAAACATAATTGAAAGATGTAAAAAATTATTTTAGCCGTGAACTATTAATTTTAGCATTTGGATCTACTTAACAAAACAATTTGAACAAAAATTCTCCAATTGATAAAAAAAATACATAATTTTATTTTTTAAACTTTATATATATACAATATTGATGTCATATGAAATATCATAAAAATATGAATAATGATATATTTGTATAAAAAGTGGATTATAAGTAAAAAAGTTATACTACCTCCGTTCCACTAACATTGTGACAAGAGCGGGTTGCACGGTTGGTACAATGGTATTAAATTTATAAAATAAGAATAAAGTAAAAATGATTTATACTAAGTTTTTAGCGGCATTTTCCAAAAAAAAAAAATGGGACAATCTTAACGGTCAGAGAGAACGGATTAAAGAAATTTGGGTTTTTTTTTTTAATTTTCCTAGCCCCACATGTTTGGAATGCCATGAGAAGTGTTGCTACAATATTCTTCTCTTATCGTGAATGAGCCGCTTAATTTCCATCTCCATCTGTGTTATCTATCATGTTTTCTTTTGAACTATTTTCAATCTCACGCCAAACCAGATTAGACCATACTAAACCAGACCAGACTTCCGTAGTTATAAAATACAAAGAGATAAGATCAGACCAAGCCAAACCAACAAACTTTAGTCCAAAAGAAAACATCCCTAATCAAATTGGCACCGATAAATACATAGGTTGGAGCACGTATGAGGATCAAAACCTCAAAATTGGCTTTTCACCCATAGGGTTGCGGGCGGCCTAATGAGGTTTGAACAGACTAATCACTTTTCTTCGATAATCCAAGTGTCGGGGCTTACTCTCCCATAATCTTGGAGTCTATGAACTTCTCTACAAAGCTCCTAAACAGTTAAATCCGGATCTGACCACATTTAGCCTTGTTGATATTGGCTCCAAAAGACAGATCTGGCAGGACTTACATCACCTACTCTTAGGCTGCTCCTCCCACCACACGAACTCGTTAATTTCAATACCATCTTCTCCCTTCTCGGCCGCTGAACAACTTCATGAAGGTAAAAAAGTCATCGGGAGCAAGACCTCCCTCATCTCTCTTAGATGAGAATTGAACCAAAGATCTAGATCTCACATAGGAGAGACTTGGAAGTGAATGGTCATCCATTGAACTATACACACCAACCCTGAACGGACTAATCACTCATGGATTGTTTGTATGTGTGATGTGTTACTCCGAAAAAAATTGAGAGCCGTGACCTAGTTTCCAGGATGGGATTCCACAGCTTATAATGATATTCTTATCGTATAAATCATATCCCGTAGAGCAGATGAGAAACCATTTTTTTTTAAAGAAGATGAGAAATCAATTTAATCACTCATATTCTTCTTACATTTTTAATTTATTTTATGAATTTTTTATAATTCAATAAATCCGTCAATCCAATTACTTTGAGTATTAGCAAAGAGTCTCTTAAAGTTTCACATATCCAAAATAGAAGTGCTAATTCATTTTCTATCCCTATTCCTTCACAAAAAATATATTTGTAACCACCCTTATATCCACCTTATACTCATCATGTTTAACGTTTTTTGTCTTTGAATCTGATTTAATGACAAAATATATCTTATTTTATCCGTGCAAAATTTTTCTTTCTACCTCCCTCTTCCGTTAGAAATACCTCCCTCTTCCGTTGAAAATTCATACTCATTGTAATCAAACTCAAATTCCCCACTTCTCTCTCTCGTTTGATCTTGATTTCCATGGCCCCTCTTTTCTTTCAATCGGAAGATCTGCCTATGAGGCATGATTTTTTTATGAGATATATTATTACTCCCTCCGTCCCGCTTGAAGGTTCCCGTGAACGGTTTATGATGCTTGACTGACGATAAAACAATTTAATTCATGTTTACACTCTGATTATTTTTAATAAATAAAATTTATTAAAAACCGCCACAAAGTCTGATAAAAAATGTAAATTTGATAAAAAATTGATATATAAAGTAAAAGATTAAAAATGATTTAAGCTGACCATGTGAATAGTGGATGAGAACCTTCTAATAGGACGGAAGTGGTACCTTTTATTTTAAAAACACTATGTAAGCTCTTTGAAAACTCTCCAAAAAGTTATTTTTCTACTCAAAGATGATGTTTCCCCATGATTATCACATTTACGTGCAACATAGGTTCCCCTCTAGTCTGTCATTCTTCACTCTCCACAAATTAGGAAAGAGAGTATAACAGTAACATACTAGGTTTTATAAAAAAAAGGATGACAACACATCCCTGATGAAAGAGAGTACGACAACACTTGCCGAACAGTTAACTTTGATGTATTGGATTTTAATTACAAAGTGATAGATGACGAGTGGAGATCTGGTCCAAGTATATGCAGATGTTACATTTTGCACAGTAACATCTCATCCTAGTTGTTAGGAATTGAATTCAAGACTTATCCCTTGTGACTCTCCTATCCATTAGCTTAGCTGTGCCCATGCTAGGGTTTATAAATGTTCCTATTCTCCTCTTCCTTCTTACTCTTTTAAAATTGCTAGTGTATAGGTTGTTTTTAATCTAAGATGACATTTTATTGCTTAGAAGATAGCATTTTTTTTTATGTAATGAGAGAACTTTTTTGCATGCAACTTTTTCCCAATCCAGATGCCAATAAAATGCAGATCAAGATGATACTTTCTTACCGACTGATTTATTTTGAAAACTATAATATTGTACTCAATTTAGTTAAAACTACCATGTTATTAGTTCTACTTAGATAAATTTCTCTTTTAGTATCACAAAAAATTAAACTAAAATAATTAACCTCATCACAAATCAATCCTAAACAAACAAATGTAAACATCATTTTAAGAGTACAAGTAAAGGACAAAGTAATAGATACACATAGGATCTAAGGAGAAGTGTGGACATAAAAGAGGTTGAAGGAGATTATTTAAAGGGTAGAGGTGGGGTGGTAAACAATCAGAGTTTAGAAAGAGATAATACTCCACTACATACTACAGAAGTAGCTAGCAGCTGATCACAACACCTGAACCTGAAGGATACTTGCAGATGATGGCAGCCTACTATCCCAGCAATCTCACCACTGACCACATTCAACAGGTCTCCATCCATTGCTTAACTACCTCAACTCTTTATGCTGTTGCTTCTGCTTCTGCATGCCACAGCAGCAGCCTGCCCCTGCCCCTTTTCATTCTTAACTCATTTCTTTGTTTTTATTTTACTCTCTTCCATTCCAATCAGTGTTTCTTCATTACTTCTCCATTTTTCTTTTCTCCATTCTCTGTTACTTCTGCTCTCTGCCTCTTCTGCCCTGTCTGCCCCTTTGGCTCTGATCTTATTATTGATTTGTTTATCCTACATCTATTTATAGAGTAATGAGCTGAACATGAAATGGATACATAAAAGATTTTCTCTCTGCGCCTTAATTACTCATCTTTCTCTTTGTATATTCTTTTAACTTTATTAGTCTTCATCCCCACATACATGATACATCTAGGACCGGTTAGGGTACACATATGCATGGTCGTCTTCTGGTAGAGATTATCTGTAGATAACTTTATACGGAGCATATCTTTTTAATTTGTTGGTTCAAAATTTAATTTCTCTCCAAGAAAATAATGAAGTTGGGGGGACATATATCTATTTTATTGGTAATATTCTTTTAAGCACTATTCAGGCTATGCACCATCTTATCAGTACTCCTATTATCTACAATTATTTTCTTCCAAATACAAAAAAGGAGCATGGGTTTGAGATAAACTTTGATAATTTTATTATTTTAAGAAACTTTGTTCAACCCCTCTGGAATCTTATCCTATGCATCATTATTAGACTGGTGAAAAAAGATTACATTCTATCTAGATTCGTTTTACGTGGTATGGACCAATTTATCCCAGGGGTTTAAAGTGTGTGACTAGATTATTTTCCACAAAGGCCCTTCTTCGGTAAATGTCTTCATATATTAGTCTTGAAATCAAACCAGTCAATTTATTTGTGGCCAATAATTGTTTTGTGGGTGCCTATGCTTCAACGAATGGTTCTTGGTATGTATTAACATCGATCTACGATATTGCTTGCAAATATTGAAGACAAAATTCTTTAAATAGCATTAAAATATAGAAAATTGCTCAAATAAGAACAGGGGAAGTTTTATGTTTTTAATAGTATATAAAGTCTTAGTTTTAGTCGTATTTAGATCGATCAACTTTTAATACTCCATAATAAAAAAAAAACGTGAGTGCAATTCATAAATAAACGAATTCATATTTACTCTAAAATCACGACTCATCAAGTGCTCATAAAGGAACAAAAATAGTTAAAAATCTTTCTGTAAGAGCTAATGTTTCCGATGTTAAGTAAAATAGCATAATGGTTTAAAATTAGTACTATCTTCGTCCCAAATTGATTTGCAAATTTGACTTTTCTTGGTCAAACAGTTGCGTTTTGTTCACTTAATTAGGATGCCAATTTTTAATTATATTCTAATTTGGAGTTTACAACTTTGAAGAGATTTTGATGTAGTTTATGATTATGTAAATTTTATTTATTAAAAATTAAATTAATTATGCATAAGAAGGGTTGACTTTTATTATTAGTTGACCAGAAAATGTTGACTTTGCAAAACAAATTGGGACGGAGGGAGTAAATGTTTACATCCGTCTTCTATCTGATTATTACCTTATATTTTCGGGTATATTATTCTTTCATATTTCTATTTTCAAATTATTACTCTGTATTACTCATGTTGTGTTAACGGTTAAGCACTATTTCCTCTTTCCTACACTTTTACTAATGATTTTGACTAATATGGGGTATATTTTGGTAAATTTTAGATATATACTCCAAACTAATAAGGGTTATCTGTAAGTATATTTTCATACGGAGTACATATTACTAATAATTTTGGCCACCTTTAAAAAAAATGTCAAGGCTCAAGTAGTCAAGTTTAAGGGTCAACGTATGACAAACTTTTGTTACTCAAGTTTTTTAATGGTCTTGTATACTACGGAGTGATTTTTTTTTTGGTAGAAACGGAGTGAAATTTATTTCTGCAGTTCCTTAATATAATATGTTCATTTGGTTCAGTACTTGGATGAGAATAAATCTTTGATTCTGAAGATTGTGGAGAGTCAAAACTCCGGTAAACACGCGGAGACTGCTGAGTAAGTATATACTCATTTGATTTTTTTTATTACTACGTATTATTATCTGTTTCAGGAGTAATAGTTTTAAAGTGATTTTCATAAAAAAAATACGTAGTAGTTTTAAAGTGGTTATTTCCCTTTTGGGAAACAAGTTTGTGTGTTTATTACGGAGTATTTAATTTAACCTGACATATTTTGATCAAAATCCGATAATAAATAAACAGTTCTTTGGGTAAGAAACAACTATATACATAATATATGATCCTATTATGTATGTTCTATATATACTACTATGTAATAATTATCTCGTCGTTTTGAAATTAAGTTTCACATTTAAATTATTCGGGATGTTCCAAAATAAAGTTCATATTTAAATTCTTTCTATATTAGATAGGTTTTTATTTCTCATTTACTCTTACTCTCATACTAATATATTTTCATTAAATTGATGTGTGTTGCTCTCGTTTGAATATACATTTATCCCATTTATTGTACCTTTCAGGTAAAACATCTTCTAATACTCTAAGGGCAATTTTAAAAAGTTAGATTTTTTTTCCAAACTACTTAAAAAAATTAATTGCGATAGTATAATTTGTTTTGTACTCGGTATTTTTTGGCATGACAATGTTCCAAAACACATTTCTTTATCAATCCAAATATTCACATGTCTTAAACGTGCGGTATATATTGATGTAGTAGAGATAAGCTACAATATCTTTTTACGACAGAAACCAAGCGAGGCTTCAAAGAAACCTAATGTATCTGGCTGCAATTGCCGATTCACAACCACAACTTCCCACCATGCATTCCCAGGTAAAATTTCATACTTCTGTATTCTTTTTGGGAAAATGGAAATTAATAATCCAACCTTTTAGCGGTCTTCTTTTAATAGTCCTACCTTTTCGTTATTCATGAATAATCCAACCTTTGCATCCCATCTTCATTCATTGGTCCCCGACCGGTTGATGACCTGTTATTCCGAGTTATTTTCTTATCTCTGCAAACTATTATACCATAAATTCCACCTTTCACAAAGATAATATTTTGCAAACATAAAAAAATAACTTGGAATAGTAGGTCATCAACCGGTTAGGGACCTGTGAATGAAGATGAGGTGAAAAGGTTGGATTATTCATGAATAACGAAAAAGTGGGACTATTAAAAGAAGACCGCTAAAAGGTTGGATTATTAGTTTCCATTTTCCTCTTTTTTTCGTCCGTCTCATTATAAACGTAACTTCTTTTTTCCTTTTCGATAATTTTTTTGTCTCACAGCATTTGTTCACCATTTTTTTCTCCTCCACACAATTTAAGGCCACACATTTTTGAGTCATGGAAACTCAAAATAAAAGTTTTATACGGAGTAAGAGTTTTTATTGAGACAGGGAACAATAAACTTTTTTTTTTGTTGAAATGAAATTAGGTGGAGGGGATATTTTTTTTTTTTTGCGAGGAGGTGGAGGGGATATATGAAAAACAAAAGATGCAATATTAAATGCGGAGTACATTTGATGAGTATTTAAGATTCCAACTAAATGAATAGTGACAAAATGACACACTAATCTAGATTCGATGTAAAAGTGTAAAACGCACGGGAGTACTTTTATGTTTACCTCGGAGGGGCCAAAACGTTTTCATAATTTCATGGCTCCTCAAAGTTTAGTAATGTTTATGGGGCCTAGCCGATGCCTAAAGTTCGTATGACCGTATAACATGTAAAAGTCCATTAAACTTTCCTGTTTATAGTGTATTAGTGTTTATACTATCCTCCGTTTCTTTTTAATCGCAACATGTTAAATTTTACATTATTCACGTGTTCTACTTTGACTACATTTTACGGTATTATTTTACGAAAATTATTTTTAGAAAATGATATTGTTCAATTCATCTCATTACAAATTTTCAAAATCTGATTTGTAATTATTTTTAACTAATAGAGATTAAGATATAATTACGGTCAAAGATGTGTGTTGGCAAGTGTGAAATGTTTACCGTTGCAACTAAAAAAGAACGGAGGAAGTACTAGGTAATTAATTAAGGGAAAAATACAGAAAACTTGCCTCTGGTTTTGGTCGTTTTCAGATAGGGACATGTGTTTTCATTTTTTAATAAAGTGAGACATGAGTTTCAATTCCGTTAACAGCTGGCCTAGAAAAATTAACTTTAATTTTCAAAAATCTCCGAAAAATTAAAAGAAAAATACCCGGAGGTGCGCCTCGTCAAGGAGTTTAACAAACTATCACTCTCTTTGGATTTTTCGACTCTATTTGAATTATTTTTTAAAAATGAATTCGCTAATATCACTTTTTTGATGGATTTTCTGGCGACAGAGTGGTTGTACACAAAAAAAAAGAAAAATGATCTTGAGGTCTTCTTGACGAGTCGCACCTCCTAATATTTTTCATTTAATTTTTCGGAGACTTATGAAAATCAGAGTTAATTTTTCTAATGGCGTTAGAAGTCATGCCTCTGCTGTGATAACGGATTTGAAACACATGTCTCACTTTATTAAAAAATGAAACACATGCCCCTATCTGAAAATGATCCGAATCACATGTACATTTTCCTTACTTTTCCCATTAATTAATTCCCCATAGAACACTATTTAAAAAAGTACATGTTTTCGTATGATACTGAACATATACACAAATTTGTAAAGAGGCCTAGATTTAACACAAATGATTTTTCAATTGGATTGGAATTTACTGATCTAGTATGGTTAGTTAAATATATGACGTTCAATGTGTATTTCACAACTATTGAAATACTCCATTATGATCTAATTTGATTTGATCAAGTCTGACCCAATTTGTTTTGGTTTGAGACTAAAACTCATCCAGCTAAAAACATGCTACTAATATTACTTCAAAGGGAAATGATGTATTATGTTAGTTTGATATGTATTTCTTAAGGAAATTATACAAGCCCTATAACAAGTAGATGTTAATTCCTACATATGATCTCATCCCTGAATTTGTAAATGCATTTCTGGGCAGTACGCTACGGCGGCTGGGAGCGGGATGGGGCAGCAGTCCGGAGCGCACTACCTGCAGCAGCCACAGCAAGCACAACAAATGGCGTCACAATCCCTCATGGCAGCGCGCTACTCTATGATGTACGGGCAGCAGCAGCAGGCAGCATTGTACGGCCAGCTCGGGATGAGTTCTGGCAGTGGATTCCAGATACTCCAGAGTGAGGCAGCTGCACCTGTGCACGGTGGAAGCAGCGGTGGCAGCGGGAGTTTCGGTGATTTCGGATTGGGCAGTGGTTGCGAAGGCGGGGAGAGGAGCTAGGGAGCTCTAGTGACGGGTGGTGGTGGTGGATGGCCAGAGGTGAAACTACTAGCTAGGGAGTATTAATTATATTAATGATGGACGTAGTTGATGTAATCTCAAGCATGTTTTTGACTTCACATTTTGGATGCAAATCTGAAATGCATGTGGAGATGATCAGCTAGCTTAGCTTAGCTTGATGCAGCTGGTAGAGAGAGTAGTTTCCTATATATGTATATGTTTAGGTCATCCTCAATTCTAATATGTGTTTGTTTCTTCATTACTCCGTATTAATTCTCCTATCACTTTAGCATCCAGTCTTCAGCTTAACTGCATGCATTAGCTAGGGTCTAAATAACTGTTTGTGTTCATGAGTTCATCATGCATCCTGACTCCATATCACCACTCACCAGCTATGTTTACTTATAAGGATCATGATTTACCATAGTTATTCTTCAAAGGAATCAGTTCTATCATTTCTTGTATTTTAAACTTTTTTACTTGTTTATACCCAAGAAATACAATAAAACTTTAAATCTCAAAGTCAAAATGTTATCCTCTGTAATTTAATTGGCAACCTTGTTTGGTATCAACCGGAAAAAGTTCCATGTGAGATCAAGACGGGGAATGTGATAATGGAATGCCTAAGTATATGACGGGAATGTGCCTTGGTTAAAATCGATTAAATTAAGAATTCAGAGTAAGATATATATAGTCTGGTACGGTGGTACCCCACCCAAGAAAATATTGGATTTTTCATGATTAACTATAGGGAAAACTATCAAATAAGCCCCGTACTATGTTGAAAAAGTCGATTAGGCTCTCGTATTTTACAAACACTCAATTAAGTCCTTAAATTATTAAAAAACGTTTAATTAAGCCTTTTTGATCGGTAAGTAACCGGTTTCCCGGTTAAACGACGACGACGGTATGTCGGTAACGATGTGCTCGAAACCCAGCAACGGCGGCTTCCGGGAAACGGGTTACATTTAACCGTAAAACCGGATACTTACCGATCGAAAGGGCTTTTAATTGAACGTTTTTTAATAGTTCGAGAACTTAATTGAGTGTTTGTAAAGTACGAGGGCCTAATCGACTTTTTCAGTATAGTACGGGGGCTTATTTGATAGTTTTCCCTTAACTATAAGATCGATCAGAAACCTTTCCAAACTCTTCAAGTCCAAGTACGAGGGCCTAATCGACTTTTTCAGTATAGTACGGGGGCTTATTTGATAGTTTTCCCTTAACTATAAGATCGACCAGAAACCTTTCCAAACTCTTCAAGTCCATCCACTAGGACTTTAATCGACCCAACATCCCCTTGTGAAAAGAGAATGAGATCGCGGATTTGTTGACCATACTCCATATGGTGAGATCGTGGATCGTGGAAAAAGTTGTCAAGTGAATTATGGCCTATGGAGTACCAATTAAGGTCCACAGATATTAACTTTAATATTTGTTATTAAGCTTGTGAGCGTGTCTTTTATTTTTTATCCCGGAAGGCAAACCACAAAAATCAGTGGGGTAAATGCCGGGGCACATTTATCATGTTTTATTAAAAATAGAAAGAAACAGATACGGGGGGGGGGGGGGGGGGGGGCAAAACCCCTCCAAGGAGGCATTCCTCCCAAATATAACACGAGAAAATAAAACAAAAACGAAATCCACTGAGGGGGCTAGGCCTGACCCAATGGAGTACATCAGAACACATATCTAAAAGAATGAAGGCCAAATAAATCCGAATAGTACCCTCTTTGTGTTAAACTTGGCGTATTCGAAATCTGTTTAATAATCTGGGTTGCAGGTTGATTTGCCAAATGATGGGCTACCCAATTACTCTCCCTTGCACAATAGGAGAAAAAAAAACCTCTTTCCTTTTTTGCTTTCTGTAAGGTTTCCTGATAACTCACCTTCCAATGTCTCGCACCGCCATCTTCGATGTATTTCAGGGCAACCGCAACATCCATTTCAAGGGAGAACGAGGAGGCAAAGAGAAGAGTGCCCTCAGCATTTCTCATAATCGCACCGCTTGAGACCATTCCAGGTAAGAATCTAGCATCATTATTCAGTTTGACTTCCTTTTCGGCCTCTTCCATTTCAAAGCTCTGAAATATCCGCTTTTCATCTTAAAGTTGGAAGGGATCAAAATTTCTTCATACAGAATATCACGATTGACTTAATCTTCATCTGGCATTTAGCGGTTAACGAATTATGTTAGCGAGTTGTCAATAACGGATTCAATCGGTAGGTTTGACTAGCGGAATAAGGTAGCGAGTTGTCAGAAGATGTTTTGTAATTTAGTTGTTTGACCATAAAATTAGTAGAAATGATCATATTTCAAAATGCTAACTCAAAACACTCATATTTGCAGCGTTTTCATTTCAGCGTTTTCGTCCAAAACCGTTAGTGTTGAACAACTATTTACCAAACAACCTTTTCACTTATTGAAAACATTAAAAGTGATCAAATCTCCATTTTCAGACTGAAACGCCATTTACCAAACACCAGCATATATAGGTACAAGTGTGTGCAAATATGTTCGGAATATATATTTGTATATTGTAACTTATGCATTTTGTTATTGAAAATCTTTTTTTCACATGGCATGAGAGTAATCAGAATTAAGCATCTCACGTGATCTACTTCTGCCTCACTCTCGAGAATTGAGATTGTTTCAATGTTTCTTGACCTCTGTTTTTTATTCCCCATTGCATTTGTGTACGAATAAATACTCTAATATATCCTACCATATGTATTACGTAGTAACGTACACTAAATATATATATTTATGTACATATGTCCTCTCCTTATTTATCTAATATTATTTATGGTGTAGAAAGATTCTAGGAGCAGTAGTTACCATTTTGCATTAGAAACAATTGTATATATAAATTCTGTATACGGCATATCAATAGAACGAAGGTTTTCCTTCTTCTCAATTTTATTTCTATTACTATTACCGATTCTTACCACTTCCGTATTATGGTATCAGAGCCAGCGAATTGACTCTTTGTTTTGAGTTGAGAAATCAACTACAATGGTGACTTCCCAATCTAACGATGGTCGTATTAGGAAAATTAACGACCCCTCTTCGCCATATTATCTCCATAACTCGGATATACCCGGAATCAATATATGCGGTATTACTCTTCGTGGTGAAGAGAATTATCGTGAATGGTCTGTTGCCATGCGAAATGCGTTCCGGGCGAAACGAAAGCTTGGGTTCCTGGATGGATCGATCAAGCTCCCTGAAGACAAAATTGATGCCGAAGATTGGTACACTGTTAACTCAATGTTGGTGGGATGGCTTATTTCATCAACCGATGTCTCACTCCATCCAACTATTGCTTACATGGACTGTGTACATGATCTGTGGGCTGACATGCAGCAGCGGTTTGAAGCGGCAGATGGCATGCGATTTCATGAATTAAAGCAGGCACTCCAGAATTGCAAACAAGCCGGTGATAGTGTGACGGCATATTTCGGGAGGTTGAAGACGATCTGGGATGACTTTGACGGGTACCGAAAAATACCAACGTGTACATGTGGTGGATGTACTTGCAATTTGGAAAAGCAGATTGCGGCAGCCATTGAAAAAGAAAAAACACACGAGTTCCTACTGGGTCTTGACGGGCCTGTATATGGGAGTTTGCGATCAAACCTTCTGAGTAATACCACCGTGCTTCCAGGCCTTAGCAAGGTGTATCAAATGATGATCCAGGAAGAGAGACTTTCAAAGATGGCAAGGACACAAGACGCACGAGGGGAAGCAGCCGCTTTTGTTGTACGCTCCGGAGGAAACGGGGGTCCGTCTACTGTGAAAGACAAAGGCAAGGTTGTGTGTTCCTACTGCAAGAAAGAAGGTCATGAACGGGATCGATGTTTCAAGTTAACTGGAGAATATCCAGATTGGTGGTATGCAAATAAGGCAGGGCGTGGGAAGGAAAGATCAGGAGGCAGTGCTAGAGATTTTACTCGCAAGGGCATAAGTGTGCAGGCCAATGCTACTTTAGGAGACTCCAAGGCAGATGTAGTCAACGAACAAGGAAGTTCCAGCCAGTTGCCTACACTAACGGGTGACCAATGGAACTCTTTGTTGGAGTTTGTGAAAAAATTTAACGCAGGTGAAGGTGTTGAAAAGCTAGCAGGTATAACACGTTCAAACTGGCTTCTTGACACGGGTGCGTCATATCATATGACGGGAGACAAAACGGTGATGAGTGATATTTTCCCCGTGACGTCTATACCTGTGACACTTCCTAATGGGAATGTTACATTTGCTAGTCATATTGGGCGAGTGAAGATAGGGGGGAGGGTGACCCTTGAACGAGTACTTTATGTGCCAAAATTAACTTGTCACTTAATATCCATTGGGCATCTTATTGATGATTTACCATGTCACGTTATTTTTACTAACAAGTTTTATGTGATACAGGACCTAACTTTGAAGACGCTGATTGGAGTGGGTGAACGTCGTGGTGGGGTCTATTATCTTTGTGGAGTTGATTCTGTGCGAGCTTCACATGTGGTCGGCAGTAGCACGGAGGATTTATGGCATAAAAGATTGGGTCATCCATCACCCCGGGTGATTCGACTTCTTTCTATTAATCACAATAAAGTTGATAATAGTAGAATTTCGAATAAGACTTGTGATGTTTGTGCTAGAGCAAAACAGACACGTGAAATTTTTAATCCCAGTTCGAATCGGGCTTTACATATTTTTGATCTTATTCATTGTGATGTGTGGGGTCCCTATAGAGAACCTAGTACGTGTGGTGCATATTATTTTTTGACAATTGTGGATGATTATTCTCGTGCTGTTTGGGTTCATTTGATGGCCGGAAAAATGGAAGTGCCAACTATTATGAAACGTTTTTTTGCTATGGTGAATAATCAGTTTCATACCTCTGTTAAAATTGTCCGGGCTGATAATGGCACAGAATTTTTGCCTTTACGACAATATTTTCTTGACAAAGGAATTTTATTTCAAACCTCTTGTGTGGGCACACCACAACAAAATGGTAGGGTTGAACGAAAGCACCGCCATATTTTAAACGTGGCTCGGGCATTGCGTTTTCAGGCCAGTCTCCCAATTCGTTTTTGGGGTGAATGTATTTTAACTGCTTGCTATTTAATTAACCGCACACCGTCTTTGGTTATTGGTGGAAAAACCCCTTTTGAATGTTTGTATGGTAAAATTCCATCCTATGATCACATTAAAATTTTTGGCTGCTTGTGTTTTGTTCACCGGAAGAGTGGTGACAAATTTGAAAGTCGTAGTCAAAGATGTGTATTTTTGGGATATTCTTATACTCAACGGGGTTGGAAGGTGTTGGATTTGGAGTCCCAAAAGCAATTTGTGTCACGAGACGTACAATTTGAAGAACAACAATTTCCTTTTGCTGAGTCATCATCCACCAGTGCACCTCATGCTCAGGACAATACTTCTGGCTTGGAGTATCGTTCCTTTATACATGCAGATGACGTAGGCGACTTTGGGTTTTCTCATACCCATGAATCCACTGAATCTTTTGTGTAACATGCACCTGTACACAGCCCGCCAGGTGCAAACGTGCCCATGCACGAGCAGTCTCAGGATGCCACGGTGATCCAGCCAGTTGACAGGTCATCTACACACGTTCGTACAGGTGATAATGATGCACATGGACCTTCTGATCACACGCAGATCTTGTCCACTGATTCTATTCCATTGGGTCGTGGACAACGGCGTAAAATCCCAAGTGTACGGCTTCAGGATTATGTTCAAACTCATGCGGCTAGTTTAGACCCCCACGACTTCTCTACTCCGTCTTTGTCTTCAGGTGATCCTTATCCCTTAGCTTGTTATGTTAATTATAACGCTTACTCGGTACACCATCGAGCTTTTCTTGCAGCTATTTCACATGAGCAGGAACCTACATCTTATCAAGTTGCTGTTCGCGATCCACGTTGGCGCCAAGCCATGCGTCGTGAGATCGATGCATTGGAGAAAAACGGCACGTGGACTATGGTCAGTTTACCCACACACAAGAAACCTATACACTGCAAATGGGTATATAAAATTAAATATAATAGTGATGGAACCATTGAACGTTTCAAAGCCCGTCTTGTGGTGTGTGGTAACCGCCAGGTGGAGGGTGTTGATTACCATGAAACATTTGCCCCTGTTGCTAAGATGACAACCGTGCGTACACTTCTTGCCGTTGCTGCATCAAAAAATTGGGAATTACACCAAATGGATGTGGACAACGCGTTCTTACATGGCCAGTTGGATGAAGAAGTTTACATGTATCCACCACCTGGGTTCTCTTCCTCCCGACCAAATCAAGTTTGTCGTTTGCACCGCTCTCTATATGGGCTTCGTCAAGCACCTCGGTGCTGGTTCTCCCGTCTCAGTGCATCTCTTTTATCTTATGGATTTATCTGCTCTTATGCCGACTATTCCTTATTTACTTTGCACAAAGGCAATGATTTTATTTGCATACTGGTGTACGTTGATGATTTGGTTATTGCCGGTAATAATTCTACTCTTATTACTACTATTAAGCAGTATCTTGCCAGGTGTTTTCCTATCAAAGATCTGGGTCGGCTAAAATATTTTTTGGGCCTTGAAGTTGCTCGAAGCCCTACTGGCATTTTTCTGTGTCAACGAAAATATATTTTGGATCTTCTTGATGAAAATGGTTTATCTGGTAGTCGGTCTGCAGACTTTCCTATGGAGCAACATCATAAACTGGCTGTATCTACGAGTCCCCTCTTTCCCAATCCCGAACGCTATAGGCGGGTGATTGGAAAATTGATCTATCTGACTTTAACTTGTCCTGACTTGAGCTATTGTGTGCACATTTTAGCCCTGTTTATGCAAACTCCTCGAGTGGATCATTGGGATGCCGTTATTCGTGTTTTACGTTATCTTAAAGGTAACCCGGGGCAAGGTATACTACTTCGAGCTGATTCTGACCTCAGTCTTCAGGCATATTGTGATGCCGATTGGGCTGCCTGTCCTATTAGTCGGCGTTCCCTCACTGGCTATATCGTACATTTGGGCGGCTCACCCATATCCTGGAAAACTAAAAAACAGCCCACTGTTTCCCGTTCATCAGCGGAGGCTGAATATCGCTCCATGGCAACTGTGGGGTGTGAACTCATTTGGCTTAAAAGTCTCCTGGGGTCTCTTGGTATTTCTCATGTTCGTCCAATGACTGTACTTTGTGACAATCAGGCTGCCCTTCACATTGCATCCAATCCGGTTTTTCATGAACGGACGAAACACATCGAAATTGATTGTCATTTTATTCGTGATCTGATTCAAGATGGTGTTATTTCTACTCGTCATGTTGGTTCCTCTCTACAACTTGCAGACATTTTTACTAAAGCTCTTGGTGCCCAGCAGTTTCATTTTCTTCTGTCCAAGTTGGGCGTTTATCTTCCAACCGCTCCAACTTGAGGGGGGGTGTACGAATAAATACTCTAATATATCCTACCATATGTATTACGTAGTAACGTACACTAAATATATATATTTATGTACATATGTCCTCTCCTTATTTATCTAATATTATTTATGGTGTAGAAAGATTCTAGGAGCAGTAGTTACCATTTTGCATTAGAAACAATTGTATATATAAATTCTGTATACGGCATATCAATAGAACGAAGGTTTTCCTTCTTCTCAATTTTATTTCTATTACTATTACCGATTCTTACCACTTCCGTATTAATTTGGCTAACTTTATACACAAACAGAACTCATTTTAATGAACTAATAAGTTTCTTTATTAAGTTCAGTGCAAAAAACTTCTCTATTCAACAGTGCTAGCTAATTTAACCAAGACCACTCTTATTAGTTGGGCTATCGGCCTACACCGACAATACCATGCCAACTGCCATGTACATATAATCTATGTTTATGAATGTAGGTGATGGATTATATGGACTCCGACCCCCCGGTATGCCAACTACTAGGCATGGATAGCGGCCCACACACGTTTAGCAGATATCATTAATATTATTGTACATTATTATTATTATTCGGATGTTCTAGATTAGCTTTTTATACTATCAGTCCATTTATGTAACCGGGTCTGTCAGGCCCATATTAGAGGCCCAGACCCGGATTTTCCCTATATATACTCCTTATAGGAGGCTTGTAACTCATATAACAAATATTCATTCTATACACATTTTCTTCTTCTTCTCCATTACTCCTTTTGATTCTTGTTCAATTTCTCCTGTTTATACAATATGGGTATCAATTATCCAACTATGGTGCTCTCGTTGAGAGGTTGAACACAATCAAGTGAGAAACCCTCCCGAATTACCAAAAATTCTTCCCACTCACAAAAAAACTAATCTGGAACTGTCCAGATCTGGAGCAGTTCCTGCTAGATCGGAGCTGGCTGGTCAACCAGAGCAGCTCAAAGTGACCAGATCCGACCATGACCCGTGAAAAATCTGAAATCTCTCGGATCTGGAACAATCCCGGTTAGATCCGAACTGATCGATCAATTGTTGCAGCTCGCAGTCAACAGGAGTTCCAGATCCGACCCAGACTGGTGAACGAATGGTCGTCCCTCCCCTGGCTGTCCGCTCCTTGACCCCGCCGGCGCGTGATGCCTAATGAATCTGCCAGTTGAAACAGCCTGAGGTTATAGCATCTCTCTTCTTCACCTTGCAATTGGCTAGAGCACCTCGAAACCCAGCGAAACGCGGCATCCTCGTTCTCCGCCCATTCCTCCACCTCAGTCCCAGCGCCGCCCAGCTCCTCGCTGCTCCGCCGCGTCTCCGGTCGCCATCGCAGATCGAAGGTTGGAGCCAGGTCCAGGACTGGCATCTTCATGGTCACCTCGGTTGCTGGAGCTCAGCCTCAAACATCTTCCATTAATGGCCACAACGAGCTCCCGGTGCAAAGCCTCCAGTCCAAATCTCGCCGGAGGCAGGTCAACGTGGCACGAAGCAGCTTCTGTTCCGGCGAGCCCTCTTCCACTCTCCGACGACGACGACCAAAGATATTACCAAGCGCACAACGGTCCGAGCAGGCGACATTTGAGCACGAGGACCGGCAGTGCTTGATGATGGAAGGGGTCGGAGGCCACTTCCTTCTGACCGACGGCCACCATCTGCCTCTCTCGCCTCCATTTCCGGCGGCAGCAAAGGTGGAGCGCATCCCCAGACCGTCCTTGCCCTGTCGCGACCACAATTTCCATCGGCAGGAATTGACCGGCATGTGCGGACTGCATCTGGGTTGGTAGAAAGGGTCTTCATCTGCCTTTTCCAAAAGATATCCGCAGAAGTGCTTTGGTCTCAAGCTGACCACGTCGGCAAGATTGAAGCAAAAAAATGAAAGGCCAGTTTCCTTTCAAGCTTAAACCGAGGGCAGCGTATTTTTTTGGCAGAATAATTGGGATCTTTGGCTCTTGCAAGGATGTGGGAAATTTTGACCAAGTCAAAATTGCAAAAAGGGAATCAAATCAATTTCAAAATTGATAGCAGTGGGTCACACTACATGTTATCCGACTAAGCTTTTCAACAGGCCCAATTTCAACATCAGCCCAATTTCAACATCAGCCCAATATTTTAGCCCAAGCAGTCCAATATTTCAGCCCACTTCAAAAAGATAAGTACTCTTTAATTTTCATATTATTTATTTTTATTTAAATTAATTTTTTGTCGGGCGAGCATCACACTATCACGCACTTATGATCAAATACCTAGTAGAGTGTGGCTTGAGACCCATCACTAGGATTTAAAGCCCTGGCTCCTCAGGCACAAAGCCCTGTCTCCTCAGGCACAAAGCCCCGACCAAGTCGGGCATGAAGACAAAACCCCGACCAAGTCGGGTACGAAGACCGGTCTTAGTCATTCCTCGAGTGGCGACCGTTGCTTACGAATGGCTCACACATCCATTCTACTAAGTATTTTATCATTACATTAACAATTCACATCTCCACTTGTTTCAAGTGACGAACTCCCGATCGGGAACATAAATCCCAAGAATTTTTTTTATATGTATGATAAATGTGTAGGTACGAAGATGACTTTACTCATTTTCACCTCGTCTCCATTCGCCTCAAAGAGTGGGGACTGGGGGACTGAGGGGTCAGAGTTTCTAGATGAGCAGAAAATATCACGCAAGAGCAGGAACGAGAGCTGAGTCAGTTGAAGAGGAGCTGAGCTAGATTGATTATGCCGGAGGGGGCCTACCTTCCTTGTTTTATGTTAGGGGCGCTAGGTGTACTCTTTTTCCCTTTATTAGGATTTTTTCCCGCTGGGTTTTTTCCTAGTAAAGGTTTTTAACGAGGCACCTCCCCATCATTGACAAGGGTGGTGGTCCCCCGGCCGAAGAGGAAGAACGTTGCAGATACAGTTTGGTCTACTCCCTTTCGCCTCGAGTACTCTCGACTCAGGGAGTGGGGGACTCCTGATGGATTATATGGACTCCGACCCCCCGGTATGCCAACTACTAGGCATGGATAGCGGCCCACACACGTTTAGCAGATATCATTAATATTATTGTACATTATTATTATTATTCAGATGTTCTAGATTAGCTTTTTATACTATCAGTCCATTTATGTAACCGGGTCTGTCAGGCCCATATTAGAGGCCCAGACCCGGATTTTCCCTATATATACTCCTTATAGGAGGCTTGTAACTCATATAACAAATATTCATTCTATACACATTTTCTTCTTCTTCTCCATTACTCCTTTTGATTCTTGTTCAATTTCTCCTGTTTATACAATATGGGTATCAATTATCCATATCAATTATCCAACAGTAGGGAAGAAACAATTTTAATCCTTATCACTATAGCCTGATCCAGTTACATTCCTACGTATATACATGACACGATTTCTTATTGGCAACTTACTCAATAGCTCAAAAGAGGTTCATTCGACCACTAGTTGCTTCCACCATCACAAAAAAGGATTTTTAGAATACTTTCATTAAAGCCACTCCATCCTGGAATACCTGGACATGAAAACAATCTTAATGGTACTGATAATCAAAATCTTGTTATTGCTTTGCATATCCAAATACCTCCACATGAATTATCTAGTTGTGCTCCATGCCTCCATTATCACGACCATTAGGGTGTTGAAAAACTCTAAGGCAGTTAAAATGTTCCACAACGGAAACATTTGGATGAATAAAGTGCTATATTAACACATGTGTTACATCTCCTATCAGAGTGACCTTTTAGGATGGAACCCTGTGTCTTGACATGGTATCAGAGCCAAATCGATTCATGGTGTGGGACCCCTTATAAAAAATGATGACACGTTATAAAAACGTCCGGATGAAAAAAAATGTATCGATGAAAAAAATGAATGATTGCACGATCAAGACTAAGTGTCTGATCGTGAGGAGGGGTGTTAAAATGTCCCACACCGGAAACATTTGGATGAACAAAGTGTTATATTAACACATGGCCTACTCCTCCTATCAGGTTGATCTTTTAGGATGGAACCACGTGTCTTAACAATGTTTGGTTCAAGGTAATATCTTATACAGGGCGGAATCTCATGCCCGGAATGTGAGATACCTGTGTTTGGTTCGTGAGTTTAATTTTTTTGGGGATTGCGGAAAAGGTGATCACATGACCAGACATGTCAAACCCACTAATGCCTTAGGTTTTTTTTTTGGATTCCTGGTGGCTTATAATTTTTTTTCAAAATACTCATACTTCATTAATCGACATATCATATTACCGCAACTCGGTCTTCTTCAGTCGAACGTCAAGCGCAACTCTCTTCTTCCAGTGAACGCAACGAGATTTTGATTCTTAAACTAATTGTTGTATTGTTCTTTTCTCACTAAAGGAGCCCAAGATTTTAATTTTTAAACTAATTCCGATTAACTTGGGTGATTAAAGGAGCACAGATTGTGAACATTGTGAACTATAGGAAGATTTCGTTGAGGGTGAGAAATTGTGAATTAGGTACATGTATGAAGATAGGGTGATTAATTCCGTGTAGACAAATCTGTAGAGGGGTGGAACGATTGCGAACTATAGGAAGCTAGGAAAAGATGCCATCTTTTCTCATAAACTCAAATATTGAATTCCTAATTAAACTAGGGCTACCAAATAATACCTCCAAACATTATGAAAACCAAGGTTATTATCATCTGATTCTTAGAAATGGGTTATATGCTTTTGATCACTACACCATTTATGTCTCTAGCTTGATATGAGCACACATGGTTTCAAATGTAAATCTTGAAACTCTTGGTACTCTATGTATACAATGCAATTAAGTGTCTTTTTAAATGAATAAATGCTTATGGTTTCCTTATGGTTTCCATTGTGTTGCTGCTTGCTATTCCAGGAAATGGAAACCATATTTGGTGAATCTCCCCTATGTAGTCTTCCCATACCAACAAGACGGGTAGTCAAGGAAAACCCATGCACAAATCCGGTGTACAAGGAATTGAAATTGATCATAAGTCATACTATCTATATTAGACTCCCTAAAATTAGAATCATGCTCAATTGAATCGGTAGTGGTGCAAATTGCATTGCCTCCAATCTCCATAACTAGACTTTAGGTATGTACACAAAGTTGCTTTCTTATCAAAAAAGCTACACATCGTTATGAAATTACATAAAATGTGAAATTGTTTTTTAAAATAATACTGCCTCTGTCCTTGAAAGAATTTCCCACTTTCTTTTTTCATTCTTTTCAAAAGAACTTTCATTTTTCTCTTTTAATAAAGAATTTGCATTTCACACCATTTTTTTACATATATCGTTTTCTTCTATACAACGCTCCATCACATAATATTCACTTTCTTAATCTGTGTGTTATTCATTAATTTGTACTGTGGAAGAACAATTAGGGACAATCAATGTTAAATGGAAAAATTGATAGTAATAATCACAACTATTGACGGTCCGCTTATAATAATCCCAACTATCGATTATTTCAGAATAATCCCAACTTTAGGGACTTTCCGCCAATAATGATCCCTATAAATAAATTCTTGTAGTTTCTAAAGTGGATGGAGAGAGATATAGCAAGTAATCCATATAAATATTCTCAACTTTTACTTTTTACATTTAATTTCTATTTAAAATTCAATTTTTTGGAAGGTAATATCTGATCATGGACCATTATTGACGGATAGTCCATATAGTTGGGATTATATAAAAATAATCAATAGTTGTGATTATTATCAGCGGACCGTCAATAGTTGGGATTATTATTTTCAAATTTTTCCATGTTAAATTTATAATCACTACATATAAAAAGTTTGCATCTTTATACGGAGTAAAAATGTAAAATGTTTCATTTATTTTGGACTTGAATAAACTATGGTTTATCCAGAACATCACTGTTGAGCATAATCTTCCACAACAAAATAACACAAGAAAACGGAGATCGGACGCCATTCTCAGACACTCAGTCCGATCTGCTCTCCCGTCCCTCCCAATCCACCCCTAGCACCGTCCAGAAAGAAACTGGCAGTATTGAGGACCGTTGGATTCAAGCTTTGTTCGCTTAAGGAGAAAATCAAATGGTATTTAATATACTTTCCCTTTTAGTTTCACCGGAGTGCGGGCTTCCCACAATATGTTCATACACAGTCATAGTTTAGGTTTCTTAAAAAGCAGTGACATGAGTGTATTGCCTTCTAGCTACGCCCCTGCTAAAAAGTACAATTTTTTTTGGGTGGAAATGGATATTTGAACCTTTTAAGTGGAGCAAAACAAATCGGAGAAAAGAGGGTGACAAAAGTTTGAGGCTTTCTTGTAACTTCTGAGGAGAACTCTGGAGTATTTGTAGGATCATTTTGTCTGCTCAGTTACTCATGTTGAATTCTACCCAGCTTCTGGGTTTAGGCCATTTTTATCTGGATAAAGATGTCCGGCGATTTGTCTTAACCTGTTAGAAAAGGGAAAGCATTAGGAGAAAGTTCTGAGTGTTATTGTTTAGTTATATAAATAATGTGGGAACTTAAAGTTTTTTGCTTATGAAATTTTAGTAAAACCAAATTGGGCTATGTAGCAATTCGTTGAAGTATTTGTTTCACACGGGTGAAATGTAAAATAATAAAATGTCATGTTTTGGTTGTTTATTTGACACTCATTAACCAATTTAGGGTATGTTTGATGATTTATTTTGCACTCATTATTAGGGTATTTACTTTAAGTTTTTTTTGTTTGACCGCATCCTTAAATTGAAGTATATGTTTCACAAGGGCAAAATCTAAAATGTTAAACAAATATTAAGGATTTTTGGCTACTCATCTTAGTAGATGGAAAATGGAACCAAGTCTTAATACAATTTAGCAGCAAAAAAACCACAATACCAAAAACTATTTAGTACATCTGGGAATAAAGCTTATCATTGATCTCTATCCCAGAGTTAGATATTTATGCCTTTCTTCTTCCGAATTAATCTCACACTTTGTCATTGTCTGTTTCTTCACTGGTGTGGCTTTTGCAGGAAAAGGAAGCAAAAAAAGAAGCTTTTAGAAAGTATCTAGAGACAAGCGGAGTTCTTGATAGTTTGACAAAAGGTCCATTATTATTACTATTATTATTTTTGTTACCATTACTACTACCGTTAGTATTACTCCATAATCGTCATTTCTCCGGTATAAATGCCACCAATCTGAATTTTCTTGCTTTGTGCCCACTGTATTGTAGTTCTTGTCGCACTGTATGAGCAAAATGACAAACCGTCTTCTGCAATTGAGTGAGTATGAGTTTGTAATCCCAAATTTGCCTCATAAGAATGTATAATTTGTGTAATGCTGCTCACCTTCTGTTCTGCTTTACAGTTTCATCCAGCAAAAAATGGGTGGGCCAACAGTATCAGAGTATGAGAATATACAAGCTCAACTCTCAGATTTGCAAATTAAGTATGATGAACTTTTAGCACTACACCAGGAAAAATGCAGAGAGGTAATTCACTCACACTGTTAACTTGAACTCAATTTAAAATACCCTTCTAGCATCCTTTACTGGTTGTCACTTCAAGGACATTTTAGCCCATTCAACTAATTGCACTTTCTAACTCTTTATGGCCCTAGTTTTTTTTGCAAATTATAACATCATGGGTCTGTTTTGTGTAGTTGAAATCTGCAAAATGCTTGAAGCTGAGAAGTATGTAAGCTAGCACACACCTGCTAAGTATAAAATACACAAACTCACATATAAGGCTTTCGAGCATTTCTCCAGTAGACTTTTGAGAATGGAAAGCCAAGTCTTATAACAATATCAAAAACTCCAATGAAGAATTTGAATTTGTAAGCCTCACGAGTACACAAATAATTAAGATTGAACTTGCAATGAGCCACAAAGCTATTTTATAAATCCAAATATATAAATGCTAACATATTAGTATAAACAACAACATCCAAGCCTTAATCTCAAAAGATTTTGGGGTGGCTAACATGAATCAATACATGATATCAGAGCCCAAAAGAAAAAAAGATAAGAAAAATACAAAGATACGGTAGGATTTAAGAATAAGATAAAGATAAAGATAAATATAAGATAAAGATAAAAATGATAAGATAAAAAAGGTAAAAAGAATATGTATAGAATAAAAATGATAAAAAGATAAAGAACACAAGAAAGATAAAGAAGATAAAAAGAGAAAAGAAAAAATATGTAAAGAGATCAATCCTCAACACGAATGTTCGCCCTTCATTTTGCTCTCTCCATAACTGTACCCTCATCCAACCCAAGGAGAATCATATCACTCCTAACATATTAGTAAGGAACTCCAAAAATTATTTAACGGTTGGTAGAAATGTTTGCTAAAGTTAGATGTTGAGCAGCTGATTTATATAAAAAGATAGTCCTATGAATTATATTGTTGATAAATTGGATATTTTTGTAAAAGAGTAAGGTTAGCTGTGGAAACAAGTAAAAAGCTTATTTCCAAAATGATATAGGAGATAGATTTCGAAGGAGAGCTTATTTTTTTATGCTCCTATATCATTTACCGAACAGGACTAAAAGTTTAGTTGGATTCTAGGACGAAGCATTTCTATTCTCAAAACGTTTCAAGTCTTCATGGGCATTCTTGTGGCATCTAATCCTCTCATCTCTTCCGTATTGTAAATTGCAGTTAGAACTGAAAAATACTCAAGTCGAAGAACCTGCCAAGGCAAACCCCAATGATGACTGCCATGGGGAAATGTCTACCCCTAAAGAAGTGGCTTCAAGTTTAGAAACATCTTATAGTAAAGAGCTGTGAAGTGCATTGTGGTTTTTTGAGTCTTGAAGATATGGGCTTCTCAGTTCTGTATTCACATTGTACTTGAGGCCTTCATTTTTACACATTCTGCAATTACCATTAGCGTAAAAATAGACGGGCTTAACTTCTGTGAAATATATGCTGGTGTTTGGCTTGTGAGTGTATTTGCCGAATACCTCATACAAATTAATGAAAGGCTAAAGGGTGGAAATAGGCCCTTGAACTGACTTAAAGTGTTCAATTAGCCCAGGAGGTTCTGCCCGGCCGTCGCTAATTGGGGTGGTTCCCAGTGAATTTTTTTGATGAAATTTTTTGAGCATCTTCTTCATTAAGTCTAGTTTACCCATACCAAATTTCAGCTAAAAATTCAACCGGAAAGGCAGTCAAATGATTTTCTGAAATGTACTGCGCTGTTTAACTTCGCAGTTATCTTCAAAAAAATCATTTTTAGTTTACGCATATACTTGTTATTAGTTTTTTTTTCCAGCAAAGTATGAAATAAGTTACTCCGTATGAAACATTGTAAATGAATATATTATTATCTTGGTAGAAAGACTCAAATCAATTCAAAAAGAAAAAGAAATAGATCACACATGTCCAAGAAAATTTATACTAAAACTAATGAGGAACTACTCCATATCAAATTAGATCTAATCTAAAAAGAGTAAAGGGTCAGTTTGGTACTCAAAGTTGCAAAAAAGGCGTCAAATAAGTCCTTATATAGAAGATTCTGTCCGGACATGCCATTTGAGGTGGCTCCCGATGGAATTTTGTGATAATTTTTTTTGACCATCTTATTCATTAAGTCTAGTTTATTCATACCAAATTTCAGCTAAAAACTCAATCGGGAAGACATTCAAATGAATTCTTGAAGATAACATCGCTTTTAACGGCACAGTTATCTTCAAGAATTCATTTGAATGTCTTCCCCATTGAATTTTTATCTGAAATTTGGTATGAGTAAACTAGACTTAATAAATAAGATGCTCAAAAAATTTCATCAAAAAATTCCACCGGGAGCCACCTCAAATGGCACGTCCGGACAGAATCTTCTATATAAGGACTTATTTGACCCCCTTTTTTGCAACTTCGAGGACCAAACTGACCCTTATCCCAATCTAAAAATATCGGGTTAAAGACATTCTAAGAATTTGTCAACGACTTTACATTTGTACAAATAAAAATGATTATATTTTAAAATCTTACTAATGAGTATTGTTATACTATTATTACATGTATGTATGAACTATGAAGTACTTGTATTAGACTATTAGTCAATTTAAATCTCCATGTTCCGTACGATGTGATTATATTGTTTTCAAGCTTTCCAATATGTTCCTATTTAAGTCTCCTAATGTAATAAAATTTTCGAGAGTGGACACTGATTTACTTCATTGAGAGTAAGAAAGTATCCAGTAATAAATAAATAAATGAATGAATGAAATAGCAATCTCAAATCGTATCCGGATTATCTGAACACAGCAGTTTTCAAAAAAGAAAAGATAAAGGGAAATGAAGTCAACGCTTATACCCAATCCCACGGCAATAATTTGGCAACGTAATCCGGTCCGCTCATCTAAGCCGCTGAAAATGAAAACCAGAACAGTAAAGAAACAATATACTCCGTAATAAAAAGCGAAAAGTCAAATAAAGAATTTCTGATAATAATTTCTGTAAATCGAAAAAATTAAAAAAAAATCCCAAATCCAACATTTCTCCGCCTATGGAGCCGAGTGAAAGCAGTGGGCTGAGCTCTTACTACCACCACCAAACAGTGCACCCATCCTCCGCTACACCCACGGCGACGGCGTCCGTCACCGGCGTGGCCACCAATGGAATTACGCCAAGCTTCGGTAACAACAGCCCCGCAGCTGGGGGTTCTGGGTCTCTCATGGTTTACCCTGGTTCGATTCCATCGGCTGTCTCACCACCGGCGGAGGCCGTGAAGAAGAAGCGCGGGAGGCCGAGAAAGTACGAAACTCCTGAACAAGCTGCTGCTGCAAAGAAGATTTCTTCTGCTGCTTCCGCTTCGAATTCGGTGCCCAAGAAGAGGGATCAGGTGCCGTTGGGAGGTGCCGGAGGACAAGGAGGTGGAATTGGTGGTTCCATAGGACAAGGAAGCGTCGCCGCCGGACAAGGAAGCGGTGTTTCTTTGCACACTCTGAAAACCTCGAAGTTTGCTGCTGTTGGTAAGCTTTCTCTCAAACACAGAGGTTCAGTAAAGTCATAATTTGATCTAATGTTGTAGTCAAAGTCAAGACCTTTTACATTTTGTTTCTTCTTGCAAGTCCATAATTTGTATGTTTCTTATATTCTTGGTAGAGTTATAAGCATTTGATCTGAGTATCTAATCCAACATCTATACTGATACTGAAAGTGTGGAGTCATAATTCAATTTGGGTTTGAAAGAGTTTCTTATGCATACCTGTGTTGATTATAAGGTTTCTGGATTTCTTTCTCTACCTTTCCCTTTCATTACGTGGATAATAAAAAGGAAGTTTTATTATAGATGAAAGTTATTAAATTTGAGAGAGATGCATGGTATCTTAGGATTGTCATCATATAATTTCAATTTGTACTCCATTTGTACTTTTTGTTTTGTTTTGTTTTGTCTTGTTTGGTACTGTAAATTGGCCTTGTTTTATTTATAGAAATGCTTATATCTCATGTGTTTGTTAAAGTTGGAAGCTTTGTCTTCAATTCTTCATTATTTGGCATATTATATTTGCATTTGGTTAAATTTAATTGCTTCTAAGGATTATCAGTGATGATCTCACCTACTGATGCAGGCGATGCTGGGCAAGGGTTCACGCCTCATATCATAAACCTTGTTGCTGGAGAAGTATGTTCCAAGATCTATTTATCTCTTTTTCGTCAGCATAGTTTCTTCTTGTTTAAGCATTGAGTATCCATGTTAATCTATATTGCCTTGATTTGCGTATATATGATACTCCCTCCGTCCCCCTAACATTGGGACGGAAGGGAGTGATGAATTTTTAAAGAAAAGTAGAATTATGTGGTTTGTAATGAGTTGATAAAATGGGAATGAAGTAAGAATGTATTAGAGTCACAGTGGTCACACAAATGTTACCAAATATGGTATGAGACAATAATAGGGGCATCCAAAAATGGGAAAATGGGACAATTTTAGGGGGATTGAGGGAGTATGTTATTAGTCAAAATATACTGCTAAGATGATGTTTTTTTCTTTTAATGGTTGTGGGTGTATGTTACAAACTTGTGGCTACCTGTGTATATTCTAATTAAATCATATCCGAACAATGACTTGTTAAATAAACTAGCAATTTTTTAGTCCAGAAAGGCATTTCTTTTGTTGTAATCTCAGTTAAATTATATTGTCTTTTTTGAATAAAGGATCAATTTTAAATTACTTTTGTTACTGATATCTTACTTTCTTGCTGAAACTGTGTGATTCCTTGTGAGTAGTTAGCATGCTTTATTTCTTGTCTCGTTAAATAGAAATGTAGCAAGAGCTGTCACAGTAATAACATAATTGCTACATTACTGTAATTTATTATATCCAGCACTTGTTGTTTAGCAAGGAATGCCATGTTTACGTATTATGATATTGTGATTGCATTTGTACCCATGATCATTGCCTATAATTTAAAGCAAAAGAATGTGTTATGGACCCAGCCCATACTAGGCCCATGGCAGTGTTATAAGTCCAGGTGTAGAACTCACTCCTAAAAGACCAGCCGATTAGGAGGAGGGAACACCTTGCTTATAAGCCACCGGTCAATCCCATACTTGACCGGTGTGGGATCATAACAGAATGTTCCCTATATTGTGCGTTTCCTTATACTTTTTGGGCATGTGACTAGGATGTGAGCAACAAAATAATGACCTTCATGCAACAAAGCAAGCGTGAGTTATGCATTCTCTCAGCATCTGGAGCAGTTTCTAGTGCATCTCTGCTCCAACCATCAATTTCTGGAGGCAATATTACATACGAGGTAGAAGTTTTTCCCTATGATTCTTTCAAATTAGAAACAGGATGTGAAGAATTTGTATGGAATTCTGCTTTTGAAGACAGACTTGGTGTCTTACTTTATTGTAGCAAAAGTGTATAACAGAATCTAAGAACTATTGATGGCTTTAAATACTCCTGCCATCCCTTGACTAAAAAAAAGAGAGTTATATTTCAAGGTCTTTTTGTGTTCCTAAAAAGAGTCTTATTTCAACCAAAGAATCTAATTTTCATTGGCAATGCAATTTAAAAGAAGGGAAAACTGTCAAATAGGTCCTCAAACTTTCATAAAAAAGTCAATTAAGTCCTTCTATAGGAGACTCTGTCCGGTCGTCGCGATTTGGGGTGGTTCCCCATGGAATTTTCTGATGAATTTTTTTGAGCATCTTATTCATCAAGTCTAGTTTACTCATACCAAATTTCAGCTAAAAATTTAATCGGGAGCGCATTCAAATTAATTCGAGAACGCAAAAATGCGCAGTTATCTTCAAAAATTAATTTGAATGCGCTCCCGATTGAATTTTTAGCTAAAATTTGGTATGAGTAAACTAGACTTGGTGAATAAAATGCTCAAAAAATTTCATCAACAAATTCCACCGGGAACTGCCCCAAATCGCGACGGCCGGACAAAACCTCCTATAGAAGGACTTAATTGACTTTTTTATGAAAGTTCGAGGACCTATTTGACAGTTTTCCCTTTAAAAGAATGTTCCAATTTCCAAAGAAGTTCATGATGCTAAATATTATATGACAAAAATAGATTTTAGATATAAATATGATGGACAATTTGCAAGAATTCCACTTTCCTAAAAGGCTAAAAGTAATAAATTGTTTCCTGATGAAATATGACTCCTTTTTTGGAACTAGAGGAGTAATATTTTCGCAGTGTAATACTCTCTCTGTTCCATAAAAGTTTGCCAAGTTTGTTTGTGAAAACTGCATCGTTGAGTTATGTTTGTGAGAGAAAACAATATGAGGCAGAAAAGCTTTTTAGGATGGATGGAAAAGTAAAAGGGATGAGGTAGCATACTTTTCATCCAACTCTATATCACATATTCTGTTCCACATCTCCATCATCAACATTCTTGTACAAAGAGTTACTAAGATGTGTCATCTAAGTGTCCCTTGATCTTCTAACGTTTCCCCATAGTGTGTCTAATGCACCACTTTGTTGTCTAATTTGTTATGCCCCTGTTGATGCAGTTATGTAGATGTGTTTTGTGGTCTGTTGGACCCTATATACCTTTCTTTTCATGGAATAGGTTGGGCCCTTACTGGTTGCCTGTGTCTTTGTGTAGCATTCAATTTTCTTTGTATTTATTTAAGATTGCTCACTACAGTTATTTTATTACATATTACATAAATGACTCTTCCTGCAATGACTCCACAGATTAAACCCTTGTTTGGTGGTGTAAGGGTTTTGAGGGAGGGGAAGAAAATTGAGCGGTGTGTGTTTTGTTGAGGGAGTTAAGGTGGAGGAAAGTCAGGGAGCCATGGACTCTTCCTAACTCCTCATATCTCATTCTCCAAAATTGTCATGTTTGGGGGATTTTTTTGCTTTTTTTATAATGTGCATTTAAAACCATTTTCCATTGAACCTTTAGTAATTAGTACCCTTTTTGACGCATAGACTGTTGTAAATACATACTGTTTTTCTTTCCATATGAAATTGTTGATAGAGCTTGTCACTGATAGAATTTGTGTGGGATCTTAACACTGCTTTTATATTTCTTACAATTCTTTCGCTTCTATGGTCTAATAATTAGTTTCACTACTTTGGCAGGGGAGATTTGACATCCTTTCACTATCTGGATCATACGTGCATAATGGGCGTGGAGGTAAAACTGGTGGACTTAGCGTATGTCTTGGCAGTAGTGATGGTCAAATCATTGGAGGTGGCGTTGGTGGTCCCTTGACAGCTGCAGGACAAATCCAGGTTTAAAAAAGTCGTGCTACAATAGTATCCCAATATGAAATCTTTAGAGACTGTTTTTCCTTCCAATAGATTTAGATTCTGGCTCAAGTGCTCAAGTAGCCATTACCGCGTGTTTGGTTTAAGTGTTCAACTGATGGGAGGGAGGAATGTGAGTATTACCTCATTTGGATAGAGGGAAGGGAGGGATACTTTTTACTATAATACCATCAGTAGGGCTTCTACCCAAATCGTAGCAACTTGTTTGGTTAAGACGGGAAATAATAGAGAGTAATATATTTACCTTCTTGTGCTTATTTTATTCAATAGCAGAGAATTATTTTATTCAGCTAACAATTATGACTGATAAAATACATTTGTTTAGAAACGTATTTGGTATATATTTAAATAGTATTTATATTTACTTATTTTTGAAATATTAAAGTATATACGTAGTATTATTTAAATAGTACTCCCTCCGTCCCGGAAAATTGTTCCCCCATTGACTTGGAACGGAGTTTAAGAAAGTGGGAATAAAGTGGAAATGTATGGTTGTGGTTGAGTAAGAAAAAGGTAAATGAATTGTAGCCACAAAAAATTTTCCAAAAGGGGAAAGTGGAACAATTTTTTGGGACGGCCCAAAAAGGAAACAGGGAACAATTTTCCGGGACGGAGGGAGTACTACTTAGTTGCTTAGAGAAGAATTGTTGCCGGAATGCCGGGTGCAAGACGGAATGAAGAATGTGTAGTACAAGGTAACATCAATCTGTGAAACTAAAAATATGTTTGCAAGTGCGCCGGTAATTTAGTCCTTAAAACTCAAATTATTAAACTTCATTACAAATCCCCCAAACTTGGAGGCTAGGGAAGTGAAAATATTCAATTTGTTTTACTTCCCTTCTCTCACCCAAACAAGGTGAAGGGATTAAAATAATGCTCTCCACTTCCTCGCAACCCAAACTCCGATTAATTGGCTTGCCTAACACATGAAGGGGCATAGCCAGTTCGCTAAAGAAAGGTTAGCGGGATTAATTATAATGTTAACTCTCATTTTTTAAAATAGTACACACTACACAGTAACAAAATCAGCTCAAATGCAGTTCTAAGTTTGTTACTAACTTACTACTCCATATAATATATATATATATATATATATATATATATATATTTGTAATATAGGGAGTAGTGCATAACTTGCATTATAATAAAAAGTAAAAACTTAGCCGGTCATTTGATCCCTCATTCTATTTCGTGCGGGGCTAAAGAAAAACACAATGTTGTTTATTTTTTCTTGCAAGGAGGTTGTTGTGTAGCCATAATTCTTTACTGTTAAATCAAAATATAAAACCCTTTAGTTCTGCAAAACACTGTTAAAAACTATTTTTCCTAGAAAGTAATACAATGGAAAGAATAATGAAACAATTTAGAATGTAAAATTCATAAACTAGAGCTAGAAAATAATGCCTGAATACTTGATGAATAGAAAATCAATCCTCATATTTTCTCCCAATGATATGGTCACTGGCACACCATTCTTAAGTGTGCGTTGTGAGGAGTCATCACTCCCGCACTGTTCCCATCTGTTTTCTTGTCAACGTCACCAGAAAACTGAATAGTATTCGTCACTATATATGCACATCTCATTCTTGGTGTTTTTTTGTTGACAGGTTATTGTTGGAACATTTGTGGTGGACACAAAGGACACAATAACTGGGGAAGACCAACATGACATGCCTGCACATGTTGGTGTCTCGACATTGCCACCGCCGCCGGGTATGGGGTTCCCGTCAGCAGTCAATCCCTCTCCTCCTCTTCATCATCATCATCATCAATACATGCAGCAGCAGCAGCAGCGGGGGACGCAACCAACGCCCCTACAGTCTATCCATTGGAGGGGTGATATGGGCCACCCCACAATGCACCATTCACCAGAAAATGGTGACTATGAGTATAAGTATAACCACGGAGAGTAGTGTGTCAGGCAGTTCACCTGTAACATCCCCCAACCCCATCTTGTAGGTTCTTTCCAATGCAGGGAAGCACAAAAACTCCTTTTTTACCATCTGCCATGTGTTTTAGCTGTAGTAGTGTACAGGTTAGTGAATCTCCTCTCTCTCTCTCTCTCTCTCTCTCTCTCTCAAATTTCTGCAGAGGAAACTGCTTAAACTATTGACTCTGAAAGTATCTATGGACCTTGGAAACTTTGTGCGCTGGTCTATGTATGTTGTCTTTGTTTATTGGCAGTGTTTCTTATTGTTGTATTAGGAAGGCTATTTGTTGTGTTTGTTCTGTTTCCTGTCGAAGTTTGTTTCCACTAGATTCTCACCCGTGCGATGCACAGGACAAAAATTAAGTAATGCCGAGTAATTCTATTACATAATTTGTGTGCATTGCTAAGTATGAGAAAATGAATGCAGAGAGTTAATATAATACACAATATAAAATTATAATTAAGAACAAGATATGTGTATTACTCATAATTGTGATGAACTATGTTTAAGAATAAGCTTCTTTAAATCAGCCCAGCCCAATACTGAATATCAATTATCAAATCTACTCAGCCCAGCGATCTTAACCTATCAACATGGGCGGATCTATGTTGGGGCAGGGGTGGGCTCCAGCCCAGCCCATCCCAATTTATTTTTATTATTATAGGTATAGGTTTAATTTCCAGCCCACCTCAAAACTAATGTCTAGCCCAGTCCAAGCTTACCAACTTTGTAATTCTATTTGATTATTAATTGAATTTTTTCAGTAGATAGTAAAATAGTTTTTATTTATTATTATAAATTTATAATGATTAAAGATAGAATTAAAGATTAGAAAATGATTTATTTATAATGCAATTAAAGAATAGAGAACGCTGTATTTACTGTTTAGGCATGTAAGAATGGATTCAAAATCTCAATTCAATTTTAAAATTGTGAATACTTATTAGTTTTATGTACATCGATTATTTTTACTTATTAGTTTTATACTTTTATAGAAGTATTTTAATTCATGTCAATAAATACTAAAATCTTTAATAATCAATAATAAAATTATAAATCACACTAAAAACGTTTAAATTTTAGATATGCTACATCTGTCTCATTTTATTTAGCCATCTTTGACTCTTTACTCAAAGATGGTAAACTTTGATCCATCATTTTGACTCATGTATTAATGTGAAATTTACTAAATTTATACTTTTATGATAAACTTTTTAACAAAGAACATTTCCATTTCATTTTCATATTATCAATTTTATTGTATAAATATATAGCCATTCAAAGTTTAACTTCTTTGACTTGAAAAGTCAAATTAGTCTTAATAAAAGTCGGAGGTAGTATATACTACCCCCATTCTTTAATATTAGTCCTCTTAGGCTTTGGCACGGGTTTTAAAAGGAAAGTAGTAGGGGTAGTGTAAAAGGTGTAATGAGTAGTGGGTAAATGAAAAAGTAGGAAAGAGAAAGGGGTAATGGTAATAAAAGTTGGGGCATAAAGGTATATTTAGAGTAAAAACTTTCCTTAAATGGAAAGGAGGACAGATAAAAAAAACGTCCCAAAAAGGAAAGAAGGACTAATAAAAAAGAACGGAAGGAGTAGTTTAATAACGAAATCACGATCGAACTTGAGTAGTTCGAAAAAAACTCAGTTCAATAACTATCAGTCCTAAGCTAAACCTTTTGTATGCAATAACGAATTTTTTTACTGCTTAGCCCACCCCACCCCTCATTCCTGGATCCGCCCCTGCCTATCAAGCCCTATTTAAGCTTTGCTTCTCCTTCGGCTTTAACAATCCCGTCACCACCTTTCAGAGTTTCAGACCATCGGTCCGTCCTTCGTACCACCGGTCCGTCATCATAGAAACAGTGATGCCCTAGATCGTTGAGACGATTTTTGCATATCTGTTTTCTTCTTACACTAAACGTTATGGTGCTAAATATTGGTCTCAAAAGTTAATTGGTACTAACTTTATGCTTCTAGGAACTCCTCTAATTCAGACCAATATTCGGATTTATTTGTATATGTTGTCATTTTGGTGCTTTAAATTGATTGATGGGTCGGTAAATTAAATATGCATAGCACAAATCATATTACCAAACTATTATCTCAAACCAATGAGATTAGTACATTAACTTCTTACACTTATAGATTGTGTATCTCACATATGATGGTGGGATAACATCTGTAAAATTATACAGAGTATGGTCTTTGAACTATAACTCTTTACAAAGACATTAGTGAGAAAATTTCGATTTCAAGGGTCACACTATCTGATTTTCATGTAATATTTTTAAATGAAAATATTTTCATCAGTGAGAAAGTTTCCATCAGTGAGAAAATCTCCATTTTCCTTGATCATTGGCTGGTATAATCCTTGTTGTGGCCCTTGGTTCTTTCATGGATTTGATCTCCCTGTACACAAATATTGTCATTGTTATTAGAACTTACTATTGCTATATGGAAATGTTTGCTGATGTTAGCTTATTCAACATTATACAACACAGAAATATTTTGATCTACATTATATCCTTAAAAAACAATACACTTTTCAGTAGTCATGGTCAGACCCAAAATTAAATAGACTCAATATTTTGTATTGTGTTTCAAAAATAAGGTCATGTTGCTTGCTAATTACCAAATGTATTAGTTCTTGGTATTAGTAACATAGTGTGTATCCAGTTTATATTATCACTGGGCACCAAAATGTTTGCTAAAAAAATGCTTTTTTAAAGAACTTATCTATTGTACAACAACAAATACACAGATTTTATCTCTCGAGCTTTCAAATAAACATCGAGCTCCTCTTATGAATGACATCACTGATAAGAGACTCCATCACTCCTATTTGGACCAAGTTGTATTTTTCACCGTCTTGTAGTTCTGGTGGTATCAACTATCAACCTATTCTTTTATTCTTGAACACGCCCTCCCTATCAATTAGTGATGTTTACGGAAAAGTAAATATCAAGATATGGTTAAAATTTCTTTTTAAAAAAGAGCAATGTTCATGATATACCGCATCTTCATGGATTTCTTGTGATCCCCATCCTTGAGTGACCGACCATATTTCCGGCCTTGCTGTATTGATGACCTCTGCTGTTTTGAGTTGAGTTTGGTGTGAAGTTTACTCCGTATTTGATAAATCAAATGGCTTTATACTGAAGTTTGTGAAGTGTTTGATAAAGTATGCGTCACGTTCGAGACCTGACTTAAAGCAATGAACCCAATAGATAATACTCCGTCCGTTCCTAATAAAACTTCCAAAACGGCTGGACACACAGTTTAAGATAGTGAGTATTGTGTGGTGGAGAGTTGTAATAATGTAATTATACAAGGATTATGTTGTAATTTCCAAAACTTGATTTTACTATAAATATACCCTCAAGGCACCCAATAGGGTAAGCCATTATTTCCCGAAAACTATTGTTTTGTATATGGTATCAGTTGCTTAGGTTATCTTCCTACCCTAATCGTTTTACTCATGACCGGCCAACCATCTACCACGGCCGCCGCCTCTGAGGCGCCCGTTACGGCGGCGCAGCCCACACCAGGCTTCATTGGCTCCACCACAACTACTACCAGTGTTCAACCTTCGTTCGGTTCGAGCAACACGCACCAAATTTCGTTGCCGCCGGTGATCATGCCAATTGGACCGACGTCTACCGCCGCGCAGATTCGTTCTCCGCCGTCGGCATCTTTCTCACAGCGCCTCGATGGGGGTTCGCCGCTGCATAATCATCGGTTCTTTGGCATGCCCGATCCATTCACATGGCAGACCTCTGCTCCGACGGTTCCAGACTTCCATCTACCACCGTCACCAGTGTTTCAGGATCTCCGAATCTCCTCTACAATGTTTTCTGGCCCAACGTTCGCAGGTCAGCCCGGGGTGGCACCGCTACAGTCACAGGCGAGCCCTTCTATGCCAGGTTTTAATCATTCCACCAGTTTTTTATCTTCCCTGGCTTCACAACTGGCTTTTTCTACCCCGAATGTGAATAATATTGTGACCACCCGTCTGTCTGAGGTCAAAGATTACTTACCCTGGAGAACTCAGTTTGAGTCTTTTTTAGTCTCTCACAGTTTATTGGGAATTCTGGATGGGTCTCTTCAGTCCCCATCCCCTACTATTACTGATTTATCCCGTCAAGAAATTCCCAATACTGACTATCATCATTGGTTAAAAATAGATCAAACTGTGAGGTCATGGCTGTTTGCTACGTTAGCTCGAGATGTCCTTATGGAGGTTTATGATTTAAAATTTTCACATCAAATCTGGGATAGACTTCAAAAACGTTTCATGTCAGCATGCATTTCTCGTTCTGTTGAATTGAAGCGTTTACTTTCTCACGTGAAAAAGAAGGATACTCAGACTATGGATCAATATTTACTTGAAATAAAACTTATAGCGGACAAACTAGCAGCCATTAATTCTCCTGTTAGTGCACGTGATTTAATTGAATATGCTATCATTGGATTGGGTCGTGGTTATGAGTCCCTCATCAACAATATTGACTGCATGTCGAGTATTCCTTCTCTAGAGGATATACGACCCATTCTTCAAGCACAAGAACAGAGAAACCTATTTTTCCAGGCCCAAGAATTATCATCCGTTCCCCAAGCTTTTGCTGCGGCTCCTGCTCCAGCGGGTCGCGGGCCTGGTCAGCAGCGAGGGGGTGGTCAACAGCGAGGGGGTCCTGGTGGCCGCGGTCAGCGAGGGGGCCGTGCCCGAGGGGGCCGAGGCCGAGGTGGTAGAGCATATTATCAGCAGCAGTACGGTGCTGCTCCACCGCAGCATGGCGGATTTCCGGGACAGCCGGCTCAGGGGCAGCCACGTCCACCTGCTTTTCATGGGGCTCCAGGTTCGGCATATTGTAATATTATTTCTGGTTATAATTATACTGATTATCCTTCTACTGCTGTTACTCATAGGTTTTCTGCAGGTTTTCCATCTGTGGATCCCACCCATCAGTACCCTCCTCCCCCCGTTGTTTGTCAATTATGTTTTTCCCCAGGTCACTCTGCATTACACTGCTCACGCTTTACGGCTTCTCATACACCGGCTTTGGCTGCTCTCCCAACTGGTGAAAACAATGATTCGGTCTGGTATCCTGACTCGGGGGCTAGCGCTCATATGACTCCACATGAAGGTATTCTTTCTTATAAAACTCCTTACACTGGCCCGAATCAAGTTTGTGTTGCTAATGGTACTACACTACCTATTTCTCATGTTGGTCATTTAAAGCTGTCTACTCGTGGTCGCCCGTTAAATCTCAATTCTGTCTATCATGTCCCACATATCAAATTACAACATAATCCTTGTATAATTACATTATTACAAAGTATTTATCTAGTCAACGTTTTGAATTTTTACGTTCCAATCTGCGCGTTGTTTCCCCTGCACAGATTGAGGGGGTGTAATAATGTAATTATACAAGGATTATGTTGTAATTTCCAAAACTTGATTTTAGTATAAATATACCCTCAAGGCACCCAATAGGGTAAGCCATTATTTCCCGAAAACTATTGTTTTGTATAAGTTGTGTAGAGGAGAGAGAAATGTGTAAGAATTGTTGTGAACCACAAATTCTTTGCCAAAAAGGGAAAATAAAAATTTTAATTGGGACGGACAAAAAGGGAAAGTTGGAAGTTTATTTAGGGACGGAGGGAGTAACATGTACTCACTGGCGCACGCTACATTAAATTTGATGGGACATCAAAATGCAGATAAATACGAACCAATTCAAAATTTTGAGTCGACCGAGAAAGCCATTAATAAGATACTCTGTATTTCAATTGGAACACGCTACATCATTGAAAAGAAGTTTATCAGTCGGCTACACTATCTGCACAACCCATTACCATGCCCGATTCTTCCATAGGATCCGACTCGAAAATGAACCATCAGTTTGGGTGGGAAAAGTGGCTGCATTTCCACTTTCTTTTGTATATAGAAGGATGGTGTGACATTTGATATAGAGGGCAGGATATAGATATCCTCCTTGTTTGCCTCATCTGTTTATGTTCTACTTTGATTAGTGTAGGTCTATTGCCATACCAGCTCATAATCTCATATATCATGAGAAGAAAATATAGTGCTCAAAACTCAAAACTAAACAATACATTGAACCTAATTTTAGTATTTCTATTGTCATTATGTATAGGTATAGATAATAGATATACTAGGTATAGTTATACTATTTCTCAAAATAAAAAGGTATAGTTATACTAGTTCTCTAACTCTCAGTATTACTTTATGACCTAAAACAACTTATACACGTGTTAACTTTGAAAACTGCCGATTAAAACATAAAATACACCTTTTCAGGCTTCTGAATTTAATTGTGTTTCTAATTAAGCCAAAAGCAAAATGGTTAAAGCGGGTAGTAACTAGTAACTACTCTTCAACTGTTTTCCCTGATGGCACACCAATTAATGGATATGATAATCCGTTCGCACACCAGTACTAGCTTCCATGTTGATATGTATACTTTCGAATATCAACGCTTCAATGGCTATTGTCCAATCATGTTCTCCATTTGAAAGTCGGAACACAGTAATATTATTGATAAATAATAATCACGCATTAATTTTTTTCAATGGAACGTGATTGATCATTATCAAATTGAGAAAGCAAGTATGACAAGTCATAACTCGACAAGTAGTGAGAATCTCATTGTCACAACTTGTTCAATTTTTCCGAAAAAAACAATTTCTTGTGATGGTAAGTTTTGCAGTGACAGTCAATAAAAATCAAGGGTAAATAGTGTTACAAAAAAATTTACTTATAGCTTGAGAGATAAATTACGTTTCATTAATGGCCAATTGTACATTGCAATTCTAAGAGTAATGAATAAAGACATATTAAGATACTTATACGTTCAAAATAACAAATTTCTTCACCAAGACGGTGAATGTTAATTATAAAGAGGTTTTCCAAAATCTAACAATGTGATTTTTGTGTGTGGTGCTACATTACAATGTCACTTTTAATATACTATCTTTATTAAATTACTATTCAAAATGAACAAACGTTTCTTTTAAGTCCAATGATGTTTTATATATAGTATAAAATATATACTTACAAAGTATTCAAACATTTTTAACATCCATTAAAATGATGAATGTTAAAAACATATTAACATTTTCAACGGGTGTACTACTGGGGCAAGACTCAGGATCAGGAACTGACTTAACCAGAAAAGGAAACTCGGATTCATTAAAAACAACTTTCTACTTACCACAACTTTGAAACCTATCTGGTTTCTATCTCAAACCCTATACCCCTTCACACCCTCAAAATAACCTAAGAAAACTCCTTTCTTAGACCTCGGATCCAATTTGTCACCTTGTTGGTGCACATACGCTACACACCCTAACAGACTTGTGACCCATTCACTCGGCCGGATCACTTGCTAGTCCGATTCCCCCCCCCCCCCCCCCCCGCACCCCCACTGTTGACCTACGTGGTCTAGGAAGCCAGCTGTGCCCAGCCCCAAGTACATTTTCTTAATCTTAATCCTTTGTGTGATTATTCGTAGTTTATTCATTTTAATTTCGAGATAAATTGAAATTACTTGTTTGTTGAATCGTGGATAAATATTCCGGTTAAGAATATTTTGTTTAGATACTCGTTGTCCAAAGTTGTCAATATTTCTGTCCGATTTAAATGTAATCCCGTGTTGAATTTTGATTTTCTGACTGTTGATTCGTAGATAAACTTTCCGGTTGAGAATATTGTGTTCGGATACTTGTTGTCCAAAGTCGTGAATATTTTTGTCCGGATTAGATTTAATCTCGTTTCATTGATTGTTGGTATAATTTTAGCCTATTTGTGCTTGTACAAATAGGAGATTGTACCCGAGTTTTGTGTTCATTGGTCTTCTCGACTTGTTCGTGCTAGCTGCTTCGTACAACTTATAGCTCTATAGGTTAATATTAAATCTCTTGTCTATTTGTTGAGTAAATAGTAATTTATCTGTACTTGTACGAAAGAACAAGGAGATTATACCTGAGCTTTGTGCTCATTGGTCTTCTCGGCTTGTTCATGCTAGTTGTTTCGTACTGTTTGTAGCTTGATAAATTTTATTTATTCTCTTGCGTGTTGTGCTTGCTTTCTTGTTAAGATGGCCTAACAATTCATTGTCGGTTTTTTTTATCATATTTTAAAGTCAAGAGTTTTAAAAGAGTCGTTGAGTTATTTAACCAATAGGGAAATGAGAATAGAATTTGTCAAACTAATAGTTGAAATCGAAAGGGATCGGCCGGTTTCAGTCCCGACTTTCGTATAAGTGGGACCTAATACCCTACTAGGGTTATACTAGGTTCTGTTTCGGACTTGGCTCATTCACAGAACCGGGTGAATAATTTTGATGAACATATTTTCATATTTGAAAATGGAAAACTAAAAAGTGAAAACAGAAAATTGGAGATAGAAAAACTGGAAAATGAAAATAGAAAATTGGAGAACGGAAAACAGAAATAGAAAACTGGAAAATATCTCTATTAGTAAACAAACCCTTAGCTTGTTCTGTTTCAAGACATTCTTCTCGCTAGCTCATTTAAAAAGTGAAACTCATAATCTAAAAACATTATAATTATGAGTGTTGGTTAATATCTCAACATTTTCAATGCATGAATTATATATAATGTTTGTTATTAAAGTAGGCTACCCTAATATTGATGGACAAAACAAGCCCCAAATGCCGTTGAATTGGTAATTGAAGGCTGCCAACTTAATTACTCCCAAATGCATGTATTCTATTTCAGAATTTCGTAAATCTGAACAAATCCCCTTCAACATTGTCTAGGAACATAGTAATTCTTATACAAATGTTTTAGCTACATTTTTTGCTCTTATTTTTTCACTTATTTAGTTTAATAAAACAATGCCTTGTTTCGTTGTTTGCTTGATGGTGTTGACTATTGAGTTGGTTTTTATGTATAAAATTATAAATTTTGTCCATTACGTTTCAATTAATCAAATATTTTTAAATCTTTGAAAATATTTAAATCTTTTAAATCTTTTTCATTTGTCAACCCTTTTTCCTCTAACAGAGTGAGTTCCAATATAATTTGAGAGATATTAAAACATTCCGCGAAAATCTTGACCTTAAGAGTGTGACACTTTATAGTAACAAAAGTTATGACCCTTTTGCTGGATGAGAGATGGTTTAAACAAAGTATAGACGTGTTAGCCAAAATCAGCTTTCTCAAGGAGTAGGCTGAGGAACTTAGAAGAATAGGCTGCCAAACTTAAAAGGAAGTGGTAAAAAAGGCTGTATATAAGGTGTAAAATATGTGTACTACATGTGTACATAAAGCAATTTTCATAAGAATGACAATGGGGACGGGGACCCGTGGGCAACGATGGGGCGGGGCTTGGGACGGAGCGGGGATGGATGAGACACTACTACATTTAAGTACCTAAAGTAACACTAAATATGTAACATGTTTTGTATAATGTTACATATTTGACTTATTGTAACATTATCTAAATTAATTAAAAAAAAGTGTTACATTTGTTTAAATGTAACTTTTTTTAAGTGATATTGTAATACTTTTAGGTGTTACATTAGATGCTTAAATGTAGTAGTGAGATATTTTTACCCCACTATGAGGTGGGGGACGGAAATTACTACACCCGCCTCATTCCCGTTATAAATATATACTCCCTCCGTCCCCTTTGGGTTCTATTTATAGACGTTAATAAAAGGTAGATCCGACTTATGTTCTATAGAATTCAAGTCCTGATAGAAGTTCGATCATTATTTTGAGTTGAAGGAGGATTTGATTCATCTTTGGAAACATGTGAGGAAAGAATCGCGTAGTATTCCTACAATCATACGTATATTGAATAGTTGGGTTGTGTGGGATAATGATGAGATTTTTTTTTTAGAAAATACCCTAAATAAGAGTATATGAAATTTGAAATTCCAAAATAGGACTATTATGTTTTTCTTCCCGAAATAGGAGTTATTACTATCATGTATAACAAATACTGTCATGATTGAAAAATACTGTCATTAATAATAATAAATATTGTCATATAAAATACATTGTACTGAAACTATTTGACAGTTACGTTTATAAGATGACAGTAAATACTAACATGTTAGTCCTATTTCGAGAATAAAAACATAGTAGTCCTATTTTGGAATTCCAAACTTCATTTACTCCCATTTTGGGAAATCTCCCTTTTTTTTAATTTGATTCGGACTCCTCCCAACTACGAAATATTACACTATACAATTTGACTTCTCTTTGAGCTAGTAGGAATATTTGGTAATGAAGAAATTGGATTGTGAGTGAACAGGTGATTTGGGCCGATCAATTTTTTTAGAAGTTGCCTGCCTTATTTCAAGCATTCAAGCATATTCTGATATTAAGTCGAGACTCACGTTTCACTCGTTGAAATGAACGATCAAGCAAGTCTCGAAGGGCATTCGCCATGCCGCCTTTGGTATTTTGCGTTTAATTGCATGTAATAATTTAACAACCGAGTTCCAACTTGTTCAATCAAAATCCTTAAAATAATACGGTGTATAATCAGGGATGGAGCCAACTAGCCAAGTGATGGGTTATTGTATCAAATGACACCATCAAATATATATTCATTATATATATATATATATGTACATATAAATTGAAAATGTTAAAAAAGACACCACTCAAACTATATATTTATTGTGTGTGTGTATATATATATATATAGAGAGAGGAATGATCCTGTCCAGCCGGAGGGACAGGATCTTCCGTCTGGCCGCCGCCGTTTGGGGCGGTTCCCGGTGGAGTTTTTTGATGAAATTTTTATGGAATGTTCCTCATCAAGTCTAGTTTATCCACAAAAAATTTCAGCTAAAAATTCGACCGGGAAGGCAGTCAAATAATTTTTTGAAGATAACTGCTCCAACTTAAACATATAAAACGCAGTTATGTTTCAAAAAACTATTTGACTGCCTTCCCGATCGAATTTTTAGCTGAATTTTTTTGTGGATAAACTAGACTTGATGAGGAACATTCCATAAAAATTTCATCAAAAAACTTCACCGGGAACCGCCCTAAACGGCGGCGGCCGGACGGAGGATCCTGTCCCTCCGGCTGGACAGGAACTTTTCCGTGTATATATATATATATATATATATATATATATATATATATATATATATATATATATATATATATATATATATATATATAGACTTAAAGTGTCAAAAATGACACCACTCAAACTATATATTTATTGTATATATAAGTATATATAGATTTAAAGTGTTAAAAATGACACCACTAATATTTTTATAAAGTGTCAATAAACATGATATATTCCCCTATCTCATAAGTGTTTTTTTAAAGAAATGAGTTTTATGTTAAACTCGAATGAACAAACGCCCAAAATGAATGAGCACGCTAAAATGAGATTTTGATGTTTTTTATACTCATTTTGTAAGTTATGTGCTCATTTGTTTCTGCTTTATGCTCATTTTAAAAGGTTGCATATTTCAAACATATCATACTACATTAGATTCACATATTGAAACTAATTGAAATTGATTATTGACATAATTTAAGACTTTTTAATAAATGAAAAAATAACAAACAGAAAGTGATATATCACGTATGAAGCAGAGGTCATTGATGCTCACCGTTAGACTTCTAATACTCAAAAGAAGAGACTTGATGCTCATCAAAATTGCATCAATGCTCATTTAAGAGAATCCGCGATTTTCACCAAAATTACAAGTTTGCCACCAGCGGTATAGTGGTTACTATACGGCCATCTATACAATATACAGACTCAATTTAGAGGGGGTTAGTGTTGGTTAATTACTTTATGACTTGCAATTTCCCTAGTTGTACAGCAAGTTTGATTTAATATATTTTCCTTAAAAAAAGAAGGAAAAATGGAAACTAATAATCTAACATTTTAACAGTATTCTTACAATAGTCTCACATTTTCGTTATTCAAGAATAATCCAACCTTTATACTCCATCTCTTTTCGCTGGTCCCTGATTGGTTAATGACCTGCTATTTCAAGTTATTTTCTTATTATTGCAAATTATTATATTTGTGAAATGTGAGATTTAAGATATAATAGTTTGCAAAGATAAGGTAATAACTTGGAATAGCAGGTCATCAACCGGTCAGGGACCAATAAATGAAGATGAAATGAAAAGGTTAGATTATTCATGAATTTGAACTATTATAAGAAAATTAAGAAAAAGTTGGATTAATAATTTCAATTTTCATAAAATATTGGAGTAGAATTTCCAAGGTACAAAACCTCGCTTGCGATCTGTCCATACACAATACGCGAGAAGAGACCGGCCCAGCGATGCTAAAAACCCTAGTCGACATTGTCATACAAAAACCTGCTCTTTCCCTCCCTCATGTACGCTAACGCTTCGAGTTGATTGTTTGTTAGCTAATCTGTTGCTACTAATATCAGGGTTATGGATGTTTATCTTTTGATTTCTCTGTATCTTGATTTAGGAAGCTGAAAAGATTATATATCATCTTCTCCTCTTTTCATTGACTGCTTATATGTTTTGGCTGAAGCGCATATCGAAGGCTTCGTGGGTGACTGAAACCCCGTGGAGCTCATATTTTGCGCAATATAAAATACATTTCATCAAAACTTAATGTTCACTTGAGCAGTATGATGTCCCAAGTCGATTTGTTGTGGAATGAACATTTAAGAAGTTTTACCTTCCTCGCTCTGTTTAGCGATAAAAAAGGCGCTGAAATGAAGCACATATCAAGGGCTTGATTTGCGATTGAAACACATCTGAGCTCATGTATTGTGCAATATCAAAATATATATCATCCATATTTGATGTGTTCTTGATGAGTACTTTGAATTTTTCAAGAAGGTTCCTTATGGAGTAACATTTGATTTAGAACCTGTTTATTTGAACTGAATGAAATCTTCAAGGGGTTACATAACATGAGTTTATTGGGGGATAACAGCATTTTGGGAGTCTTTTCACCTATTTCTTCTATTGTAGCGATTTCTATCGTTGCTCAACGGCATGGGTGTTGGACCACTGAAGAAAGTTGCTGCTGTGAAAAGATAGTGATTTCATTGGTTTGGATTTGCCAGTGGAGTTCTTCCCTAGATGATATTGAAATAACCAAATCAAAATTTGAAATGGATGGGCAAGAAATCAGACACCACAAAGTGAGCAAGTTTTACCAAAGTAAAAAAATGCCTTCAATATGTTTTACGTACATTTCAGTAATGACGAGTTAACCACCGTCTCATTATGTACAAAGACATGATTGTTGGATATGTGAGTTCAGTATGAGGTTCAAGAAAAAAATAATGTGAGTTGTTTTATTCTTCATCTGTGATAAGGTGTAACTAATTATGGTCTGAGACTATTAGTAATAGTAACTACCTGGTTCTCTGGAGGGTAGTTTCTCCCAATCCCGGTTCAAGCCTCAAGGTTTTTGGTGATGAGCAGAGACTCAAGGGAAGAAGAAAGTGATTATTGAGGCATTAAATGTAGTGCTTTATAAAATGACATACTCCGTATATGAATATAGATCAGTAGTTCGGCACAACGATATTTCGAATGGAAAATGTATTTAAACAATGATGTGATACACAAAAAGCATATACATAGAATAATTCGTATAGAAAATGTATTAAAACAATGATGTGATACAAAAAAATCATATAAATGGAAGTTTGATTTATTCAACCACTAGAAGGGAACGATCAAAATTGTTAGTTGACTCGCTATTTGAGAGTAAATTAACAAAATCACCCCATCGTTATTGAATAGAATATCTAATCAAGTGTTATCTTCATCTAATAGTACAACAATCATTGTAAATCACCAACTACATTCAATCGATTTTACAGTAAAAAATACACAAACTTTAAGCATTGTTAGAAAAGAAACATATGAATTAGGGAAAACTGTCAAATAGGTCCTCGAACTTTCATAAAAAAAGTCAATTAAATCCTTCTAAAGGAGACTCTCTCCGGCCGTCGCGATTTGGATGGTTCCCGGTGGAATTTTTTGATGAATTTTTTTGAGCATTTTATTCATCAAGTCTAGTTTACTCATACCAAATTTGAGCTAAAAATTCAATTGAAAACACATTCAAATTAATTCTTGAAGATAACTGCGCATTTTTGCGTTCTTGAGTTAATTTGAATGCATTCCCAATTGAATTTTTAGATAAAATTTGGTATGAGTAAACTAGTCTTGATGAATAAGATGCTCAACAAAATTCATCAAAAAATTCCACCAGAAACCGTCCCAAATCGCGACGGCCGGACAGAGTCTCCTATAGAAGGACTTAATTGACTTTTTTATGAAAGTTCGAGGACCTATTTGACAGTTTTCCTTATGAATTAATTGAAAGTTTCTCTTTAGGCCTTTTTCCATTTATATCACATCATTGGGGATGTTTGCCATTCGACTGTTAGCTGAATCTGTTGGCTGATTGTTGATAGCGGGTTCTGTTGGCTGTTTTGATTAGCTGATAATGTTAGCTGTTTATAAAAGAGTGTTTGGTTAAATGGCTGTTTACAATCGGCTGAAAACTTGTTAAATTACTTTTAAGGGCATCAATTAATTTGTTTTGTTTACTAACTACTTTTATTAATACAACTCTTAATCCGTTTTTATTTAATAAAAATAAAATTTCATTAACACAAGTAACAATTCGTTTCAACATTGATTTTAAACACAAATAACATTCGTTTGATAAGTAACATCCAGTAATTCCATTTTTTCCTATTGATTTAAAAATATCAAACTATGGGTACTTCAGCCTTGAGCAACGATTGACATCCATCATAATATAGTTGGTTTGCCAGATGTGTTGACATTCAGAATTACTGATTTGTCATATTAAAAAAGATAAATTAAAAAAATAATGTGATGGCAGAAGATACTTTGGTCGAGAAAGTTGGATAATTTGGTGTAGGAAGCACCTGATGTTGAAGAACGAAGGCTTGCTCCACGCTGTATTTTGTTGTTGTTGTAGGGTATGGAAGAAGAAGAAGAAATGACGAGCATGAACGGAAGGGAGCAGTGCGGATATAATGGGAATTTGCCATAGATATTCAAACGGCCAAACCTATGTAACCAAACACCACTATTAGGTGTTTATCTCGTCAAAAAACAAATAATGGTCAAATCAACCAAAAAATGACTGATAGGCCATTAACCAAACATCCCCATTTAGGGGTGGACTCGGGCCGGTTCTGGTTCGGGCCTAGGCCCGGACGGGCTTTTATTTGGAAATGATGGAACCGGAACCGGCCCAGGTAGCTGGCGGTTCAGGGCCAGGCCCAAACAATACCGGGCCGGTTCCGGCCTATTTTTTTTTATTTTCTTTTCATTTTCTATATAACCCCGACCCCCCCCCCCCCCCAACACCCCCATCCCCCCAAAACACCCAGCACAACCCGGTAGAAAAAAAAAATGTAAAAAAAAAAAAATTGGCCCGAACCGGTCGGGCCTGTTCGCATTTTAGGGGGGCCCGAGCCTGAACCGGGATAGGAGCGGTTCCGGGTGGCCCGAACCGGACCCAAGACCGGGTACCGGGCTGGGCCCAAACAATTCCGGGCCGCCCGAGTCCACCCCTATCCCCATTAGCGGAACAATCGGGAAAGAAAATATTTTCCCGGACCCAATTTTGAAGACTGTCCGGTATGTCGAATGACTCCGGTGACACAAACGGAACAACTGGAGGCTGAAAAATACGTTCGTAGTTGCTCGTTAGGTTGTGGTATTGTAATGTAAAGGATTTGGGGTCCTTTTCTTTGATTACCTGAAGAGCTGCAACTCTAGAACCCGTATTTAATGCCTCGACGTACACTTGGGCGGCTGACTGTTTACAGCTTCTGGCGGAACGTCCGTCTATTTGGAATTCACCCCATTCACAGACATCTCCTTCCTTCTCGATGTATTCCTTGACGTCCGTCGCGGATTTTGCACCCTGAATATTAGGATGGAACGTACCCCGCCGACCCGGGACTGTTATGTCGAAGAATCTGTGGAATTATCGCACCGGTGAAAAAGAGATTTTTCAATTTTTTAATATTACATATGCAATATTGATCTCATATGATAGATCGTAAGTTATTATGAATTTTAGTATAATTTGTTTAGCCTAAACTTGGTGCGGTGGAAAAGAAATTTCGATTGAAGTACAATTTTGAAATCTCAAATAGACGCAACATGTTTTGTACTTTTTATTAAAAAAATTATATATGCAATATTGGTGTCAAATGAAAAACAACAAAAAATTATGAATTTTGATTCATTATTTATACAAATTGGAGCAAAAATAAAAAAGTTATATCCATTTAAAAATAATAAGTGTTTTTCAAAATATGTGGTCCCACCATTGAAGTTGGCATTTGGGAATGCTTCGTTGAAATCGGAAGTCACGCAGGTAAGTGGACTTCCTCCCGGGGCCACGTTGTCTCTGGGTCCGCGGGGGAGCGCGGAGTGGTCACCCACCCGATCTGGGGCTCGGGAGAAGAAGGCTGGTCCTCCACAACCACCAGGGGGGCATCCTTCCCGGGGGCAGCTTCCTACTTCCTCTGCTTCTTCTCCGGAATCACTGCACCTTTCTCGGCTCGCTTCCTCTTGAGCTCCTCCGCTTGGGAGCCTCCGGCATCAATGCCGGGCAGGACAGCACCAGCAACCTTCGAAGGCTCCTCGCCCCCTTGGACCTTCGAAGTCTCAGACTTCTTGAAAAACTCGTCCACCGGCTTCTGCTGGGACGAGCCTTCGTTCTCCTTCGGCGCCTTCGACGCCTTCTTTTTCAGTGCGGCATAGGCCTTGACATCCATGGCTTTACCTGAAAGAGAGAGTAAAACGGGCGTTAGACAATGATAATCAAACAAGTGCAAAAATTACTAAGTGTTAGAAATGTAGGCTCTCGGCAACAACCTCCAGCAGTTAAATAACCCCGATCGATCAAGGGGTATTTCTCGTCACTCTCGCCCCCCCAAGCGGTATCGCCGGAAATCGAGAAGGTATAGCTCTTCCGGGAGGGTGGCGGCTTTTATTGTTATAACCTTCTCAGAGCCCTCGGGCTTGGCAATCAACTTTTTGCCGGTTTTCTCCAGAGCATAACTCCCGACTTTTGGGTGCCTTCGGAAGTAATCACGAAGGGGAATGGAGAAGGGATTCTCAGCCATACGAACGAAGCAGAAGCGATCTTTCCAGTTTTTATGAGAGGATGGGAGTATGGGACCTCAGAGAAAAGCCTCCATTCGCGAACTTGCTGCAGGTTCGCAAAGCCCCCAACATGCGAATGACCCCCCCGACAGAGGTTGAAGGATAAGAAGAACTGATCCAAGGATGGATCCACCCCTCGGCTACGGCACAATGCGAGGAAGCCGGCCAGATAGGAGTGGTTATTTGGTGTCAATTGGCGGGGAGCGAGCTTCACGTACCGGAGATATTCCAGGACGAAAGGGTGGAGCGGAAAACGCAACCCTAATTCCACTGAGAGGATATGAACCACGAAGCAACCTTCAGGCGGACGCAGCAACACATCATTAGGTCCCGGGTCCACTACTTGCGCCGACGGCCCGATTAGAAGCTGGGTTTTGAGGTACTCAGCCTCCCCGGCCTTCGTCTTTACGTCGAGGGCAGCTGTGTTAAGGTAAGAATGGCCTTCAGGGATGCCAACAGGCTGCCCAGCGTCTGCAGCCGCCTTTTTCTTCTTTGGAGCCGCCCTCAGCTTCTTCTTTCTCTTACCCGGAGCCACGCTGAGAGGTTCCGGTTCTAAGGGCTTGGAACAACTGGCCTCGGCATCATTACGGGCCGGCAAAACAGCCACGGTTACCTTCAACCTTTCCCTTTCCTCCTCCTCCTCCGCAACTTGAAGGGCGAGGGCCAGCTCCTCGTCTTCGTTTACCTGTTCGAAGTCTTCGGCCTCCAACTCGGCCCGAAGGGTGCTTTGTACTTCCTCCACCACCACGGAATCGTTACCGGCAGACAATTGCACGCTCGAAGACTCCACCTCAGAATAGCTCTCTGACTGCACAGGAGCCTCCTCCGACATATTCTGAGAATCGCTTGCCGACGACATCCTTCCGCGTAGAAAAGATGGGAGTAGGGGAAGAGAAGAGGATTGAGGGCTCCCTAAAAAACTCACACTGAACGAAAGGAGAAGGAAGGAAAATATACGAAGTACTCTGACAAGTGGGAAAACTAACCTCGGAAATGAAGTGTGGACGAAGGGGTTACTTTCTCTCTCTAGAAATTTCGGCAGAGCTCCGCTATGATTCTGAAACGCACAAAGGAGAATGGCTTGAGCAAGGGGTATTTATAGGCAACTGGGCCTCGATATATGGGCCTCGATTCGAAAGCCCATCATTACGGGCCGCCGGTTCAACCAATGGATGGCACCCCCCCCCCCCCTTCAGCCAACACGGACACGCCACGTGGATCGCCCCTCCAACGGCTCCTTTCCAACGGCTCTATTTTGGGAACCATCGAGGCAGTCTCATATAGTGGCCTCCGGCTATCACCTACTACAGCCTTCGGTGGACCCCCTTCACCATGCATCTTCGGGGAAGCAGCAATATAAGCCTTCGCTTATCCATTATGCCACCCATCATGGTATACTTGGAACCTCCGGTGAACAACACTCACCAGGTGCCCTCGAGCATCTAGCAGCATAAGCTTTCGGCTTGTCAATGTTGCATCCTCGATCATATATCACACGAACGCAACTACTCCTTTTCCCTCAAGTACCTTTCGGCAAAAGGAGTGGGGGACTGGTATACACCCCTCGGGAATCACACAAAACAAAATTTCCTCATGCAAAAATTTACAATCAACGCACATAGCCTCCGGGCGAACGTCAAAGTAGAAATCCTCGGGTACATACTTCAAACCCTTCGGCACAGGCAGAGCATAAATTTTTTTTTCCCAAGTCACTTGCGGAAATGAAGCAGCCCTCATCACAACACATGCAGGCAATACATCTATACTTCCATCAGAAAACCCTCGACATGTGAGGGACTGAGGGAAGCCTTCGGCAACCAGCAGAAGACAAGTTCTCAAGCAGAGGCACCTAACGAAATGAGGAAGCCTCCAGAAGAATCAACACAACTACTCCTTTTTCCTCAAGTACCTTTCGGCAAAAGGAGTGAGGGACTCCTGATGGAATATATGGCCCAGGAACCCCCGGCCCATGGACTCCTACTTCTCCTACACAAGTCCATTGAGCCCAGGGAACGTCTCAGGCCCAAATGCAACGGCCCAAGCCTCAAAGAAGCCCAGAATACACACTGGGGTGTCTTCGGCCTCCTTGGCCGAAGGCTCCAAAACTCGCAGGATAGCTTTTTTGGGCATACGAAGCTACTGGAAGAAAACGGCGGAAGACAGGAGCCTTCGGCATCATCAGAGCCTTCGGCATCAGAAAAGCTTCGGCTGAACCAAGCCTCCGGGCATACTGAGCCTTCGGCCACGCAGGGGTCCTCTGTTACATGGAGCCCTCGACCACACACGGACCCCTCGGCTACACGAGGAGCCTTCGACCTAACATGCTCAATCATCGAAGATTCCTTTTGAAGACAGCTAACCACCGCATTTAATGCAACGTCACATCCGCCAACCGCATTCAATGCGGTGAACATGCCACTGCCGGTGCCACCCGATTGATGAGACCCTTCGGCCGTTGGATTGTTGACACGTGTGCTCTCATCGCATTTATTGCTGCTATAAATAGCAGTCCATTTCTACTTGTAAACGATCCCAGATCCCAACTCCACATTTCGAGTTCATTTAATAAAATCGACTTTCTCTCCTCCTATTTGCTCTGACTTCTCTCTAGTTATTCCCGTAATAACCCCTCGGATAAGATACCCCGGGTGGACTATTCATCATTTGGTGCTTTCATTGAGAATTATTTTCGGAATTATTTATTTATTTAACATTAATTCTGGAAAAAACTCTAAATTTTAAGCAACAATACAGGGAAAAGCTACTCCGTACTTCCGTATTAACAATCTGGGGTGGAATATGTCAATTCTTGGAAATCTAATGGATGATTATGTCCTTCGAATCCTCCCTCGGAGGTCTTACCACCAAAACTACCATTCCCAGACTTTCAGTAACCCCATTTTCCTTCAATTTCCCTCCGCTCTCCACCATCAAACCCGCATTTGAACTTCCATCTTCACCTCCAACCACCAAGTACAAGCTGCTGTTTCCAACCACCTCTTTCCTCCGCCGATCAGCCACCACCAGAATTGGCTCCTCCTTGCTCTCTTTCCATGGCAAAATCCTCCCATTCTTAAATCTCACCGCAACTCCACCTCTCTCTAGTCCTGCTATCGGCTTCCATCCTGGTAGAACCACCCATCTCTTCCACTCTTTCTCGGACTCCACTATTCCAAAACCCCCAACTCCTCCGCAATTCCACGGTGCCTCCTCAACCTCCGCCGCCTCTTCCGCCTGGCACACTGGTAAGATTATCACCTCTGTCGATTCTGCCACCTCCCCCATTTGCATTCTCACCAACGACACTTCCACTTCCTCCTCCTTCACAGCTCTTTCGTTCCCTTCTGCTTTCCCCTCCTCAGCCAGTAAAGCTCTTGCTGAACCAGACTCCACAAACTCCATTGCCTTCTGCAGAGATTGCCGCCTGAGCTCCTCCAGCAAAGCCGCTTCGTATTCCATCGCCTGTTTGAAGTAACTGAAAGCAAGGCAATCCCCCGGAGATTCCGCGTTGAACATCGCCCACCCGCGGTCAGCGCGCCTCAGCGGGAAATCTTTCATCGCTCTCGCTAAGATCCGCGATTGCTTCGCGTCTGAATGGCTCTTCGCGATGAAATCCGCCGCCGCTGCTCGCTGGGCGGCGCTGAGGATGCGAATCTCATAAAGCAACTCCGCTCCGCCGGAGTCGAAAAATGACAGCTTATCCGCGTCAATTTTGGAATTCAGGAGAGACTGACGCACCTGCGAAGCTACGACGAGGAGGTTCTGCTCGATTCCGGAAATTCCAGTGATTTCTTCGATTGTGGAAGGCGTGAAGCCTTCCTGGATCAGTGAAGGAATCAGAGGAGCATACTCGAACCATAGCCCCAGGCGGTTTGTGAGGATTTCGAGGCGGGAGTTTGTATCAAGAGATCGGAACTTGGAAGGTATTGGAGAAGGAGGTGGCCGGAAAGGTTGGTAGAGCTGTTTTTGCTCCGGCAGCTTTTGGCCAGAGGAGGGCGGGATAATGAGAGCGGTGATTGTTCTAGGCGAGAGAGTGGGTTTGTGGAAGATGGTGGGCGCCGGTGGAGATGGGAGGAATTTCGAGGAGAGTAACGGCGGCATTGGAGCATTCACGTTGAGAGAAATCATGGTGTTTGAGGTCCAGGAGAAACAGAGGCTTATCCACAACAAAAAGTCTTGGTGTACACCCTAGGTTACACCCTGGGGTACACCATATATAAACCTTCTTTTTTTACTGTTTTCTTTACCCCTCTTCTCACACAGCTCTCCCATCCCCATTCCTCACGCACATTTCTTTCTCTCCCACATCCCTCTTTGTTCGTTCTCTTCTTCCCACCTTTCTCTCTGTTTTTTATTTTTTCTTTCGAGATATCATGGATGATTTTCTAGCATATTTGATGGTGGATGGAGAAGTGACCGGAAACGATGGAGGTTTGGAAGATACCCCTTACCTGCGACGGATGACGGACAACGGAAATGGAAGAAACGTGGAAGCTCTGAACGTCGAAAATGGGGGAGCTGTGAACGAAGAAGATGGAGTTGCGAACGGAAATGGTGGATCTGTGAATGAGGAAGATAGATGGTGGTCCGAACAACCCTAGGGACGAAGACTTAGGTGGGACGGGTGGCAGACCTGTGACACAAGGCGTCAACGAAGTTTCGATATTTGACGACCGAGATGATTACAGCTGTGACGGGAAGAGAATAGCAGGGAGAACATGAACACAGATGTTGAAGGTATTTTCTTTGACATACAGACAACTTACATACTCAGTGTCGGTGTGTACCGACAACTAATGTCATTGTGTACAGAGTAGTGTCGGTATGTATAGACAACTAAAGAAATCCTCATTGAGTTGATGCATACCTACAAAGATGAATGTTGTATCTGTGAATGAGTTAATCACTAGTGTTCAATTTACCCTTATTCAGATTCTCTAAGTGGAAAATTTATAGAGGAGTTATTTTTAATGAGTGCATTGACAATAATAAAGTGTTCAAAGTTTGTTTCAGTTTATCACCGTAATGACTTCGTCAATGAGTCATTGTAAACAGATAATACAAACAGATAGAATATATATTTCCTTAATCTCCTAGCCATATCTAAAAGTTACCGATTGGAAGTTACTAAAGGTGTATTCTACCCGAAAGTGATCTTTTTTCTTTCCTTTTGTTTATAGAGAGCAGATGCATTACTTATTTTAGAGGGATGTGGTGACAGAGGTGTGGAGATAAAAATACTTTATGCTAAGTATGAAAAAAATTCAAATGGGTGTGCTTAAAATGTATGTAACTTTCAAGAGTGACGAGGTCATGGAAAGCTATAATTTATCGTTTCTATTTTGTTTGATGTTTGTGAAGAAAGGTATCTTTATGCCAAGGTGTGAAAATGGAATCTAGCTTCATTTGTTCAACCATGCAAAATTATGGAAAATAAGATTTTCCTATCAACTTATTTCAGACAAAACACAATTAGGATCAACTAGGACTTTCACATAGGGTTATAATGGGGTCTGTGGGATAGGCTTATGAACAAAGGGAATTAATGAGGAAACAAAAGAAATGAACTTGACATAGATTTAACAAATTTAGAGAGGTACTAAGTAGTGAGTAGGAGCTTTTGACAATAATCTATACAACATTTGTTATTTTTAATTGTTAGGGGTAGTAAACTAGTAACTAGTAAAAAAAGTAAATTAATGTACAAAAAAATATACAAAAGAGAGAAGCATATACATGGATAATTAGCCTTGTTTAGATTTTTTTATTCTTTTCATTTTCCTTTTTTTCTGTTTTTTTTTACTTCATTTTCTTTTTATTCTTGTTTAGATGGAGCTGCGACGGAGGACAGAAATGGTGGGCTGTGAACGAGGAAGATGGTGGTCCAAACAACGCTAGGGACGAAGACTTAGGTGGGACGGGTGGTGGACATGTGACACAAGGCGTCAACGAAGTTCTGATATTTGAAAGCCGGGATGATTACAGTTGTGAAGGGGAAGAGAATAGCAGGGAGAAGACGAATGAGATGTTGGAGGTATTTTCTTTCACACACACAGATAGCTTACATACGCAGTGTCGGTGTGTACCGACAACTAATGTCGCTGTGTACAGAGTAGTGTCGGTATGTATAGACAACTGAAGAAATTCTCATTGATCGAGTTAATGTATACCTACAAAGATGAATGTTGTATCTATGAATGAGTTATGTATCTATGAATGTTGTTAATGTATACCTACAAAGACGTATTTGATTTATGAATATTGTTAATGTATACCTATCAAGATTTTTTTATATCTATGAATGTTGTTAATATATACCCTACTACTATAATGTATACCTACAAAGATGAATGTTGTATCTATGAATGAGTTAATGTAAAATGATTATTTGATTATGTGAACAGATGGAGATAACAATGGTGATGAATGTGAACAAATTCGAAAGATAGGCATGAAGTCTCCTACAAAAGATGCAGTTTATGATTTCTACAAAAAGTGTACATATGTCGGTGTGCACAGGCGAATGAAAGGCTCCTGGGTGATTGTACTGACAATTAGTGTCGGTGTGAACAGAGTAATAGTGTTTTTGTAGGTGTACACAGACAGTACTTTCTTTGTAAGTGTTTGTGTGACAATATGGTTTGAGTTTAGTAATATGGTTTGAGTTGTTAACTTGTTATGTAAGATTACCGAAATGTAACGGCCTTTGTTGTGTGAGTTATATACAAAAGTGAGAGATTTATGATTCTATTTGGTTTGTAAGTGTTACTTTGCCAACATGGTTGGAGTTGGGTTGGAGTTGTCTGTGAGCTTCATATGATATGCATGTGACGTTCATATCGTTGTCTATGAGCTTTATGGTAGTTGTTTGTGAAATTCAAATAGTTGTGTGTGAGTAATATTGTTGTCTCTAAGATTCATATGTGTTAGTGTAATTTAAGAGACAACACATTCATATATATGTGTGTGTGTGTGTACAAATGCTACCAATCACTCTTCTTTTATTTATTTCAAGTCCTTTCAGTACACACATAGTAATAACAACTACACAGATACTATTGCCGGTGCACACATACAATAATAACAACTAAGAGATATTACTTTCGGTGTACACAGACAATATGAACAAGTCACAAACATATGTGTAGACATAATAATAGCAAGTACATAAATATTTCCTTCCTCGTTGTTGTAGCCTACCCGAAGCGCCCTGGAAGCGAATGTATTCACATGCAAGAATATTACTCACAAACAATTCCAAGAAGTTTATAGACAATTCATATGAAGCTCATAAATAACAATGTGAAATGCTTCATCTTGTATAATGATGTACATTATTGGTTGTATTGTTTTGTACAACGTTGAACACTTGCCCAAGTTGATTGTATCCATCTATTTACAAAATCAAATAGTTCTATTTATTGAACTACAATATTGACATACATCTTTCATACATTTTGTAGGTGACCTACACAAATCTATATAAATAATACATTTATTACAATATTTGTGGGTAAAGTCAATGAGAATGTCTTCATTTTTCTGTACACACAGACACCAGATGTTGTTATAATCAATGAGGACGTTGTCATTCATCTGTCGCACCTCATCATCATTTTTCTCAGAAGCCGAATCACCTTCCTACAAACGTAAATAAATATGTAAAAAGTTAGACAAACACAAACTTGTTTATGGAGACAACAAACTTCAGAAAATACACAAACAAATCCAACAGTTTCATTTCATACACAACAATATGAACGACACAAAAACACCAAATAGCTTCAATAACCTACCACTTTTGTATATATCTCACACAAGAAACTCACACACACTTTGGTAATCTTACATAACAACTCACAGACAACTCCAAGTCAAATCATCCGGGGATACAGACACTGCAATTTTGAACACAGATAGATTATGTATTGCACAGACAAAAAGTATCGGTGTACCTTATTTCATGCCTGGGACCTTCTTCCACTTAAAGACACCTTACCGACACTTTGTGCATTTCACAGTCAGAAAGTGTCGGTGTACCTTATTTCAAGCCTGGGACCTTCTGCCACTTAAAGACGCCGTACCGACACTTTGTGAATTTCACAGACAGAAAGTGTCGGTGTACCTTATTTCATGCCTGGGACCTTCTGCCACTTAAAGACACCGTACCGACACTTTGTGAATTTCACAGACAGAAAGTGTCGGTGTACCTTAATAGGCAATAACCTCTACAAGACTACAAGGTGGAATTCGTTTCAACTGGTGTCAACCAGTTCTGCCACCAAAGCCCTGGGACCTGCACTTCCATGATGCCAACATCCGATTTACTTAGTATTTAGCAAAAATCTTCAGTAATATTCTTAAACTAGTGCACATGACTTTTCCAACACAAAATCAAATTGATTTTATTAAACTAAAATATAAGCCTACAAAAACAAAAATTAAAACCCTAAGGTGAGCACAAACACTGCAATTGGAAGTCACACTTCACCAATTCATGATGAACCAACTGCACTAGAAATCTAGCAGAACACATGACAGAAATCAGTATATGACAAACAAAGAAAACTGAGCTGAAAAACTCACACGCATATGAATCAAATTGAATCCAAATCAGTAAAGGAACACGGTAGAAAGCAATGTTCCCAAGCACTGGTCAACACTCCTTGATGTTGGTAGATTAATTGAGTATTAAGGACTCAGAACTTTAACAAGTAACACAAGAAAAGAAGTAATTGGGCATGAAAACAAGTATTGTTTTATATTAACTGAAAGCCATGTTCCCAAGCATTGTTATTGGTTTGGTGAGCTTCTTGATTTATATTAACTGAAAGTAATATTACACCATATTGTTTCGAGTTTTATATAACTGAAATCCAATTTTTTCTAAAAAATAACCCACTTTTGTATATAACTCACACAAGAATATAACAAATACCTCAAATTATACTATCGGTGCACCACACCCAATAAGATATATATACCACACAGCTTAACTGTCGGTACACACAGACAAAATTCAATAACCACAAATACAGGGAATGCGTGTACATATAAAAAGAACAAAGATAACAACTCCAATAATAACCACTTTTGTATATAACTCAAATAAGGAACTCACATACACTCTACTAATCTTAAATGAAAAACACAGACAACATCACAGTATCACACATGTTACTTAACAACTCACAGACACTTCAAACATGTCACATAAGAACTCACAGACAACTACTACTCAAACCATAAGGTTATACCGACACTGCAATTCCAAACATACACACACAAGTGCACAACCGATTAAGGGTTCTAGCTTCCATTTTTAATTTTTAAACACAAAAATTGAAATTAACGAAATGGTAAACATAGTTATCATTATATTCAACTCCAATACACAATCAAAAACCTAATAAAGAAGACACATGACTTCATACTTACAGTCGGCCATGACGAAGAGGCTTGTTCGCACCATGGCCGCAGGTCAGAGTGTCAGACCCTTGATCTTTAACTTCAACCTTCTTCTTGAGCTTCAATTGTCGTCCACGACCATCGTCTTCACCATACTTCGTCACCTCTAGTGCTCCATCTTCGACGATGAACAAGTTGCGTGAATAGGCCACCATTTACAATTCCGAATGTAAGAAGGTGGATTGCCGGTTGGGGGGAAGCGTGAATCGTGAAGAGTGAAGAAGAAGACTTTTGGGGGGTTTGTAGAGTTGAGATGAGGCGGATGAATTTGGTGGGCTGAGGTCAATTTGATGGGCAAATGGAAGGGTAAAAGAATTGGGAGGGGTATTTATGTGGTGTACCCCAGGGTGTAACCAAGGGTGTACACCAAGAGTTTTTGTATCCACAATCTATTTTCGTTTCTAAACGTTCATCTTTTCCTGAGATGTTTTGGTATTAATATCCTGCTCCACTTATTTGACACAAACGAAAGGGAGAATTTTACTGCACCCCTTTTGTGATGTTTTGTATGATTCTATTTGATTTTGTACTCTTTTTTAAAAAATATTAATGTATGCATATCATTTTATTATAAAGGATGTTTTTACTTGGAATGTAATTTACTGGTCTGGTCTGTTTCGGTCTGGTCTGTTTTGGTCTGATTTGGTTTGATTTGAAATTTTATTTTTTATATATATTATAATCCATAAATAATTATATTTTATTCATCTATAATTACAAATAATAATAATAATAATAATAATTAGGGGTGTGCACTATCCGGTTTAAACTGAAAAACCGGATCAAACCGGAATGGTATCCGGTCCGGTTCGGTATGGTCCGGTTGTGAACTGGTGCACACCCCTAGTTCCTATTACTAATAGTCTCAAACCATAAATTGGTTACACTCCTATCCCAGATGAATGACAAAACAATCACATTATTATTTGTTTTTCTTAAAACTCATAATAAACTCACATATCCTGATACCAACCCTCACGTCATACATAAGAAAGAGAGAGTGGTTATTACTGAAATGTGATAAATATTGAAGGTTTGATTTTTCTAAAAATTGCTCACTTTGTGGAGCCTGAAATCTTGGCCGTCCGTTTCAAATTTTTATTTAGTTATCTCAAGTGCCAAATCCAACACAATGAAATCACTATGTTTTCGCAGCAGTAACTTTCTTAAGTTGTCCAACACCTATGCTATTTGTTAATCCAATCGTTGAGCAAGTATAAAAAATCAACTACAATAGAAGAAATAGGTAAAAAGAGTCCCGAATGGTATGAATTCAGCTGTTAACCCCTATGAACTCATGTCATGTATCCATTTTAAGATTTCATTCAGTTCAAATAAACAGGTGCTAGATCAAATGTTTATCCATAAGGAACCTTCTTGAGAAATTCATAGTACTCATCAAGAACGCATCAAATATGGATGATTTATATTTCGATTTTGCACAATACATGAGCTCAACAGTGTTTCAATCGCAAATTAAGCCCTTGATATGTGCTTCATTTCACCATCTTTTTCCTAAACACAGCTGGGAAGGTCAACTCAGAGAGAATCACAATTTCTTAAATGTTCATTCCACAACAAATCGACTTGGGGCATACTGCTCAAGCGAACATTAAGTTTTGATGAAATGTATTTTATGTTGCGCAAAATATGAGCTCCACGGGGTTTCAATCACCCACAAAGCCTTCGATATGCGCTTCAGTAAAAACACATAAGCAGTAAATGAAAAGGGAAGAAATAAATTTAAAATCTTTTCAGCTTCCTGAAACCAGATACAGAGAAATCAAAAGATAGCCATCGATAGGCCTGATATTAGCTACAGAGACTTCGCTAACAAACAATCAAATGAAAGCGTACTTGAAGAAGGGGAAGAGCAGGTTTTTGTATGACAACGTTGACCAGGGTTTTTAGCATCGCTGGGCCGGTGTTAGACAATTTGTAGCAATCAAGAGTCCAAATTATTAAATTTGGATTTCGTCCATTTTTTTTTCTTTTTTTTTTTTACCCTGGAAGGTAAATCACCCATCAGTGGGGCAAATGTCGGGGGTCACTTGCCAGAGTTTTATTGAAATTGGAGCTTACAAGGAGAGGAGGATTAGACCAGAACCTCTCAATGGAAAAGTACATGAAGAACAACAATAAAATAAAAATTTTGGGCGGGTATGGCCTGACCCAAAATTGAAAAATAAAATCAATAACGAAATTTGTATCTAGTCATAGCACATTGGAGCATTGGATTCTCTTCTCAAGTTGTGTATCTAATCATAGCACATTCAATTATTTTCTCCACATGATGTGTCTATTCATATAAAATTGATTCCCTTCTACACTATGTGTGTCCTTTCCTAACATTGGATGCTATTCTCCATTATGTGTACCTTTTCATAGCATTGGATGCTATTCTCTACTATGTGTGTTCTTTCCTAGCATTGGATGTTATTTTCCACCATGTTTGTCATTTTCTAGCATTGGATGCTATTTTCCACTTGGTGTATTCAGTTATGGAAAATTTGGATCTATCTTGCACTTGGTCTGTACACTTTCTTATATTACATCAGATCCTCTTACCACCATGTTACTACATAGAATACATGTTATTATAAATACATGCTCTGACTTTACATTGGAGTCACACAACTCACGTTAACTTCTCCCATAGAAAATAATGAGTTCATTTCACGCATTTTACCAATCCATTCATGCGAACGGCTATTGATGGAGTATATGGCCCAGGGACCCCCGGCCCATAGACTCCTATTTCTCCTACACAAGTCCGTTGAGCTCAGGAAACAACTCAGGCCCGAATACAACGGCCCAAGCCTCAAAGTAGCCCAGAATACGCACTGGGGTGCCTTCGGCCTCCTTGGACGAAGGCTCCAAAACTCACAAGATAGCCTTCTCTGGCATAAGAAGCTGCTGGGAGAAAACGGGCGAGGACATAAGCCTTCGGCATTCTCATGCCCTCGGCACCTGGGGAAGCCTTCGGCTGAACCAAGGAGCCCTCGGCTACACAAGGAACCTTCGGCTGAACAAGGAGCCTTCGGCTGAACAAGCTCAATCATCGAAGATTCCTTTTGGAGACAGCCAACCACCGCATTTAATGCCACGTCGCATCCGCCAACCGCATTCAATGCGGTTGACGTACCACTGCCGATGCCACCAGACTGATGTGACCCTTCGGCCGTTGGATTACTGACACGTGTCCTCTCATCGCATTTATTGCTGCTATAAATAGCAACCCATTTCTCCTTGTAAAACATCATCTACATCTCCACTCCACACGCCGAGTTCATTTAATAAAATCGACTCTCTCTCCTCCTATTTACTCTGACTTCTCTCTAGTTATTCCCACAATAACCCCTCGGATAAGATACCCCCGGGTAGACTATCCATCAGCTATGATGACTTCTTTAGTTGCAACAAACTCCAACACTCGTGATTACATAGATCGTGGTCGAGAAGCTGGACAACGTTTGTTTATTATAATGCACAACATGATAGTGGAAGATGAATATGAAGAGAGGGATGAAGAACTAACCCATCAGGACTACGGTGAAGACTATGACTATATTGGTTTTATGTATCATCACCCCACTATACTCAATTAAGAGTCTAAAAGTTCTATTTTTAATTTTTTGACTCCTAATCTTTAACCACTAGAAATGGTCTTATGTATCAATGTATGGACAGACGCCAAGCGAGGTTTTGTACCAGGGGAAACAGTCACATACTAGTATTTATTGGAAAATTCTACCGTACCTATACTAATTTGGAAAATTATACACACATTTTGAAGACCAACCAAATTACATTATTGTGCCACATCACCCCCTATATTAATATTCTCCATAGTAATTTGTTAACTTCGTATTATGTACTTCGTATTACGGGTTAAGGCGACAAACCCAGTAACTAAGGGTGTGAACCACCGTTGTCGCTGAGAGAGGCAGATTATTGTTGATGGATTTTTGTTGCCGTTGACCAACAAGTGTTTGCTGAAAACCGTTGTTGGATTATGAAGAACCGTCTGCGCGCTTGAAGAGAAAAGCCATTTTTGGCAAACCATCGCTGATGGCTTTCATTACATTGTTGACAAATACCTACCCCTTCGATTCTTGTCAGGAGAAGATAGTTTCGAACACTAATGCACCCTAAAACTCAAAGGTTTTGCAAAAGGATTGAAATGCAAATAACTCAAATTATTTAACTTAATTACGGAGTATTTTATTATATGGTTTGAAATTTACAAGTGTAGTGTTTTAAATGGGTTATTTAGTCAAATGTACCGTACACTTGTAATTAAGAGAGGCACCATAGAAAGATCCATATTTATTAACTACTACCTCCGTCCCATTTTATGTGTCTTCTTTGCTTTTGGCACAATTTTTAATAAAGTGGTTGAAAAGGTAAAAGTTGTGGTTGAGATTTGAGTATAGTAAAGTGAAATGTTATGAATCACATATTTCTTTCCAAAATGAGAAAGATGACACTTATTTTGGGACAACTAAAAAAGGAAAGTAAGACAGGTAAAATAGGACGGAAGGAGTATAAAGTAGGGAGTATAAACCTAATCTATTTCTTAAGAGTATATGTATTGCTTCTAGAAGCAAAATACATATTGTACTTCGTATTGTTTATTAATAATCTATTTCTTAATTGTATAACTACTTCATAGAACAGAAATATGTATTATATTATTTGTGTAAAATTTACTCTGCATTTCTTAATTGCTTCTCGAAACTAGCTTCTCATAAATTGATTCTGAAATAAAATTATTTTATAATTCCTTTCAATCTAATGAGATCGATGTGATACACATCAATAATGTTGGTATTATTACGAAACAAATACTATAATATACAAAGTAGGTTACAAGTAAATCCAAAAGCAATGTTTTATAATTCCTATTACACCCTTTATTATTGCTTCATTCATTCCTTAAAATTTTGTCATATTTCCCTTTTATTGTCTCCAAAATTTTGTCATTTTCCCTTTGTTGGGATATATTATCCTGAATCTGTTATTGTTCAGGAGCCCGAGACCTCACATAGTACAGAGCTCGTTCAATAAGGCCCGTTTCGGCCCGTTTTGATCATATGGCCCACTTCGACCCAACTGGCCCGTATTTGGTCCATTAGGGTGGAGAACACCTTTTCCCTTATCCCTATAAATAAGAGGCTTTCCCACATGTTTAAGGATCCTTTCGTTGACTGATTCTTCTTCCTTCTCTCTAGCTAGCTTAGAATACTCCATGAATGGGTGCTCAATACCTTGTACTTTGTAATGGTTGGGATAGATTAATGAGAATGAAAGAGCTTGTATATTAGCCTAAAAAGTCCCATAGTTTTCTCCCTTTCGGTATCTACATAAAAACTGAACTTGTTTATACACATTTATACATATATTTACTATATCGTGTTGAATTAAACTCAACACTGGCACCGTCTATGGGAGTATGTCCAAAAAGATTCATGTGTTCTACTGTTCTTGAGTTTCTACGAGAAATTCATACAGATGAACTCAAGATTCTAGAAAAGAAAAAAAGGACAGAAATGGCTCTGAGGGAAGAAGAAACGAAGAAGCTGCAAAAATTGGGAAGCCAAATCTGGATTTTTGTTTCCAGATCTGTTTTGGAAGTCGCCGGAGCCGCCGCCGTCCCCGCCGGCAGGGAGCCTCCGCGGTGTTAGCCGGCACTAGAAGAAGCTCGCTTCAGCACCCCAAATCTCATAACACCTGCAACACAGCTGCTCGTCACGCGCAGCTGCTTCTGCCGCCTAAAGTCGCCGCACCGCCGCTCGCCGCTCGCCGCCCGCCGCCGGCGGTCAACTACCGACTACCCCTCCACCTGGTCAGTCTCGGTTCGAGCCTCCACCGGCCATCCTGTTCGGCCGCTGCGACCTGAGGACCTAGCGACTGGGAGTTCTTTGACTTCCGCCATTAATGGAGATTCGGAGCTCGGGGAAGGTACTGACGAAGCTCAGTAAGCAGGCCTCCCATCGGGACCAGACCATGTCATCATCATTGCACCGCTGCAAGCGTCCATACCTCCGTCGTTTGGCCTCGGTTTGGTGAGCCAACTTTCCCAAAAGATACGGAGTGCTCAGATGCCTTGGTCCGGCCACGTGAGTAGGATGGAGGGTGACAGAGGAATAAAGTTGGACCACCTTGACCAAGTCAAATAGCAAAGGAACCAAATTAAATTGAGGAAACCATGCTGGGGAACGTCTATGCTGAAGTTGTGGAGCATTATTTGAGAAATTCATAAATGGGGTACTTCGGACCAAAGTCAAAATTGATAGAGGGAGAAAACCTGGCTAGCCTTATCGCTGGTTGAGCCCATCTAAAAAAAAAGCTAAGTGCCCCTCTTTTTCTAACTTAAGTGTTCAAGTGATGAAGCATGATTAGTAGTGCTATAATTTATTATGTTATCACCATTATTTAATAGGGGCTAAATTGCCCCGAAATTAAATAGTGCGAGCGATGCTCTAATGATAATTATTTCACCGTCATTTTAATTAATGGCCGGTTGTTGTGGGCCCGTTGGCCCGCTCCTGATCGGCTTTAATTAGCGAACGGAGCGTATCTCAATGGCCTTTGGTAGGATAGTATCATTACTATTACCTGTTACATCACTATTATTTATTAGTGATAAAAATGTCCCGACTTAAATAATGAGGAGCGAAACTCTAGTGATGGCTAGTTCAGCCAACATTTTTATTAAATACTTAATTGTTTGTGGGGTCGTTGGCCCACTCTCGATCAACTTGATTAAGGGAGTGTTTGCGATTACTTCAACTTTAAAAAAAGTGATTTTTTAAAGTGATTTTGGGAAAAGTGATTAATAGTAAAAGTTGATAGTGTTTGAGAAAAAAGTGATTCTGAAAAAGTAAAAGTTGGTAGTGTTTAGTAAAATAAGTACTTTTTGTGTAGTAGAAAAAGTGAGAAGCAGTTTAAAGCACCCTTCTACCTGCTTCCAGCTTTTAGCTTTTAAGCGATTAATTTAAGCAGAAGCTATCATTTGAAAACACTCTTTTCAACTTTTTTTAAGCCAAAAGCTGAAAAACGTTTTTTTTAATCAACCCCAAACACTCCTTAAGCAATCCGAACGTCTCCAGAGGGCAGTGCCCCGATGACGCTTTTTAAGTTGGGGTTGCGCATTAGTCTGCACGACATCAATGCCTGATCGACGATCGTACCCCAGTACCATCTACGCCATGAGGCGCGAAGTGATTGTTGCCAACACGGCCTATGGGGCCCGAGGGCACCAAAGCGCTCAACCTCGTTTTTCGAGGATAATGCGACAAGCGTGGGTTTGAGTTCTCAAACTCACAGACCAATGATTATTTTTATGAGACGTTCGGCAGGCTGCTAAGTGGCCCCGCCGCGAGCTGCCACGTCCAGTAACCCCGCACGATGAGCTGAGTCGAGGGTCACAATAAGCTGTAGGCCTGGCAATCGTGAGCGTTAAAAAGAAGAAAGCCACGCAGATTGCTATGTATATATATTGTCGGGCTGTGCGGCCCGTTACCATGTTAGTTATGCAAGCAAGGTCGCTCGACGTGCTCGAGCAGAAGATTAAATGACGCTCGGCATGAGTTCCGAAGACGTTCCAATCGGCTTAAGCAAAGGGCCGCGAGACGTTCATACGTCCCCAAGAGGCCGAGGTCCAAGTGGAAACCAGACGTAAAATTCAAAACAGACTGCATCAACACAGACGTGATATGGGAAGTTCGCTTCCTTCAAAAGACCTTATGCGATTAAAAAGTGTGTGTAAAGATTGGATGACCATTATATGTAATCCTAGATTCGCAAAAGAACATTTGTCTCATTTTCTTTCTAATCCTGCAGCCTCCTATATTTTGATTCTGTTAAATGGTGTATCTGTCGCAGCTCAAGAAAGAAATCTTCCAAATTTTAAAGTTCCGGCAAATAAAGTCTTGTTTCAAACTCACAGGCCTTGCTCTAACTCGGTTAATGGACTGATCTGTTTTCAACCTAAAAACCAAAACAGTTATACCATAGTGTATAACCTGTCCACATGGGAGAAAAGAAACTTGCCGCCGGAGAAAATCGAAGAAGGCTATAAATATGCACTAGGATTCGACCATTCCTCACAAAATTACAAAATACTTCACTTTGGTGGAAAAAGGGGTTGCGAAGTGTTGACTTTGGAGAGACAATCATCCTGGAGAACTGTGGTTGATGAACCACAGTTCCGTACTGAGAGAGCATTTGAATCATCTGGCCCGATTTACTGTGAAGGAAAGATTTATTTCAATAAAAGCTACCAGAATTCAGAAGGCTATGTCCATTATTTTAATGTTGAAAATGAGAGGTTTGGGACTATCGTAGTTCCCCCTCTAGATGATGGACTTTATACTCATGCGCCTGTAGTAGAGGTTGGGCCAAATAATCTTGGATTTGTGGCGTGGAAATATCAAAGGCCGTGTTCTCCTGAGTGTAGGTTTTGGGTATGGGACCAAAACCAGACATGGGATCTAAGGTGGAGATTTTCGATGTCCAGCATGGCAACTATATGGGGTTCCATTGAAATAGGAGAAATTGTAATAGGAGTCAGTAAGCTGTTTTTGTACGATGTCGATACTTTCACTAAAAAGAAGCTCAAGGGGCGGTTGCAAGGTATCATAAGAACGTTCTCTGCAATCATGTGGAGAACACATTTCCACTATCAATAACTCAGTAAGGTCATCCCCTGTCATTTATATGTTCCTGTACATGATTTTTTATTTATTTGGATGAACAGTTTTAGTGTCAGTTTATCATGTTATGTGCACTCTTACTTTCTACTTTGTCTACGCTGTTTTAGCTTGCCCTTCGGTGATTTAAATATTGCCACATTATAGTTTAATCAGGCGAGATGCTAAAAATGGACAGTGTGTTATTGTTATGTACTATATCATGATGTGCAAATTTATCTCACGTATAGAGAATGTGGGTGATTATGAAGAGATTATTAGTTATCAACTATAGTGGTTTTGAGAAGGATTAATGCCAACGGGTAGGGAGAGAATTGTTTTAGGGCTTATGTTGACTTGAATTGTTCCAATATTCATTAGTTTTTTAGTTCTCTTTAGACACAAGTTGAATCAGTTTTGCATCCAAAAGTAATTCCTTATGACTCAAATCTTAAGATAAAAATAGGTTCCTAGGTTGATGTGTCGGTGTGAAAGTGATTGGACTGGTTAACATCAAGCAGAAAATATAGTTAGTCACTGTTTAACACAATTTTCTCTATGTGAAGTCAGAACGGCAGAAACGGCAGAAAATATAGTGTCGGTGTGAAGTCAAAATCAAGCAAAAAATATAGTTAGTCACTGCTTAACACAATTTTCTAAAGGCTCACATTGCACATATTTTGCATGCTAGGGCACTAGCAGGTGATGGAAACATTCACATTCTTGGAATAAGTAATTCTGCATACAACACAGTTAGTTATCCACATAGGTACCTACACAAAAATCATATGCACTACTTAATCACAAATAGGGATGATAAAGTATTAACTCTTAGAGAGAAGTGATATGTATGAATGAATTTCCAACCCTTACAACTGCCCCCAAAGGAGTATTTATAGGGAAAATATGGGCTGTGCTCCCAAGTCTTGGGCTTGGGAGACCCATTACAATATAAGGCCTCTATTGGGCTGATTACATTCGAATATATTAACTAAGTATGGAAGTCTGGCTCTGTGAGCTCTCTATGGCCGACGAACGTCTACCTGACGGAGGTGTGGCCGACGAAGGTCTGGCCGATGAACGTCTGGTCGACAGAAACATGGCCGACGGGGCACCCTGGTTCTCCTGGCTTTTGGACCATATGCTGAGTTGATATCTCTTTGGCCGATGGAGGGCCATCTGGTAGACGGTGGACCCATGGGGTGATAGCTGTTCTTCCTCTTAGTCTTCTAAGAATGTGAGGCATGGGGTCTGGAGTCTGGACCCATATACTCTATCAAGGGATGACAATTTAAATCAACCTGTTGGGTACCCATAATGAACCGAACTGGTCTAAACGGGAAAATTGTGTTGACTGGGTAATGGTTACGGGACACGCAGTTATGAACTTACGGTTTTATACCTACCCGATCCATTACCCAACCCGGTAGCCGCCCCGTTTTTATAGGATACAGTTATCCGCACCATTACCAAACCCGTTAAGTTACTTTATGTATTTTCATTTTTAACAGATTATGTAATTGTTATAATTGGGAGTATATATGAATCATATATAAAGCTCCTTCACTCCCAAAACCCTATCTGTCAGTTATCTCAAACTCTGCTCCAAATTTTAGCAACTGTTGCCATCCTTAGTCTTTGTCTCTTTGAGCTTCCGTTGAGCTTTCGTTGATCCCACATTCTTCCTCTCTACTTCAACAAATCTCCTCCCACAATGGGTCTCCCAAGCCCAAGACTTGGGAGCACAACCCATATTTTCCCTATAAATACTCCCTTTGGGGGCAGTTGTAAGGTTGGAAATTCATTCATACATATCACTTCTCTCTCTAGTTCTCCCTTCTCTCTAAGAGTTAATACTTTATCATCCCTATTTGTGATTAAGTAGTGCATATGACTTTTGTGTAGGTACCTATGCCAATGTGGATAACTAACTGTGTCGTATGCAGAATTAACCATTCCAAGAATGTGAATGTTTCCATCACCTGCTAGTGCCCTAGCATGCAAAATATGTGCAATGTGAGCCTTTAGAAAATTGGGTTAAGCAGTGACCAACTATATTTTTTGCTTGATTTTGACTTCACACCGACACTATATTTTCTGCCGTTTCTGCCGTTCTGACTTCACATAGAGAAAATTGTGTTAAAAAATGACTAACTATATTTTCTGCTTGATGTTAACCAGTCCAATCACTTTCACACCGACACATCAACCTAAGAACCTATTTTTATCTTAAGATTTGAGTCCTAAGGAATTATTTTTGGATGCAAAACTAATTCAACTTTTGTTTAAGCGAACTAAAAAGCTAATGACTATTGGAACAATTCAAGTCAACATAAGTCCTAAAACAATTCTCTTTACCCGTTGGCATTAATCCTTCTCAAAACCATTACAGTTGATAACCAATAATCTCTTCATAATCACCCACATTCTCTATACGTGAGATAAATTTGCACATCATGATATAGTACATAACAATAACACACTGTCCATTTTTAGCATCTCGCCTGATTGAACTATAATGTGGCAATATTTAAATCACCGAAGGGCAAGCTAAAACAGCGTAGACAAAGTAGAAAGTAAGAGTGCACATAACATGATAAACTGACACTAAAACTGTTCATCCAAATAAATAAAAAATCATGTACAGGAACATATAAATGACAGGGGATGACCTTACTGAGTTATTGATAGTGGAAATATGTTCTCCACATGATTGCAGAGAACGTTCTTATGATACCTTGCAACCGCCCCCTTGAGCTTCTTTTTAGTGAAAGTATCAGCATCGTACAAAAACAGCTTACTGAATCCTATTACAATTTCTCCTGTTTCAATGGAACCCCATATAGTTGCCATGCTGGACATCGAAAATCTCCACCTTAGATCCCATGTCTGGTTTTGGTCCCATACCCAAAACCTACACTCAGGAGAACACGGCCTTTGATATTTCCACGCCACAAATCCAAGATTATTTGGCCCAACCTCTACTACAGGCGCATGAGTATGAAGTCCATCATCTAGAGGGGGAACTACGATAGTCCCAAACCTCTCATTTTTAACATCAAAATAATGGACATAGCCTTCTGAATTCTGGTAGCTTTTATTGAAATAAATCTTTCCTTCACAGTAAATCGGGCCAGATGATTCAAATGCTCTCTCAGTACGGAACTGTGGTTCATCAACCACAGTTCTCTAGGATGATTGTCTCTCCAAAGTCAACACTTCGCAACCCCTTTTTCCACCAAAGTGAAGTATTTTGTAATTTTGTGAGGAATGGTCGAATCCTAGTGCATATTTATAGCCTTCTTCGATTTTCTCCGACGGCAAGTTTCTTTTCTCCCCTGTGGACAGGTTATACACTATGGTATAACTGTTTTGGTTTTTAGGTTGAAAACAGACCAATCCATTAACCGAGTTAGAGCAAGGCCTGTGAGTCTGAAACAAGGCTTTATTTGCCGGAACTTTAAAATTTAGAAGATTTCTTTCTTGAGCTGCGACAGATACACCGATTAACAGAATCAAAATATAGGAGGCTGCAGGATTAGAAAGAAAATGAGACAAATGTTCTTTTGCGAAACTAGGATCACATATAATGGTCATCCAATCTTTACACACGCTTTTTAATCGCATAAGGTTTTTTGAAGGAAGTGAACTTCCCATATAACGTCTGTGTTGATGCAGTCTGTTTTGAATTTTTTGTTCACCATTTGGAAAGACGACAACAGCTAATCACAATAATAAACGTCACACTACAAGGCAGCCACAAAAATTAAAAAATAAACAAAAAAAATCACAATATAAACAGCAAGTAAAAGTTTAGAAGCATTACCTAAAACTAAAACAAAAATTGGATAGAATGTCTCACGGAATGGTGTCCAGGCTTCGCGTGATGTCGGCGGTCCACGGAATGGTGTCCAGGTTTCGCGTGATGTCGGAGGTCCACGAAATGGTGTCGAGGCTTCGCGTGATGGAGGTCGGAGGATTAGAGCTGCGATCGGCGTGATGGAGGTTGAGGGTTCGCGTGATGAGAGCGACGGGTGATTGCGATCGGTGAAGAGGTGAATAAGCGACTAAAGAGAATAGGCCGGGCTAAATTGGGCTTATTTTTTTTTTTTTAATATAGGGCCTCTGGACATACCCAGATGTCTTGTTTCACTAGTCCTTTTATTTTTTGAAAAAAATCCTAAATAGGATTAAAACTACTACACAAAGAGAACATTAACGGCTTGTTTACTAATAAAGATATTTTCCTGTTTTATATTTCTGTTTTCTATTCTCAAATTTCCTGTTTTCATTTTCCTGTTTTTCTGTTTCCAATTTTCAATTTTCATTTTTTAGTTTTCCATTTTGAAATCTGAAAATATCTTCATCAACTTTTTTCACCTGGTTCTGTGACCAACCAGAAAACTGAAAGTACGGTACTAATCCGGAACCTAACCTATTACAACCCAAGTAAGGTACCAGGTCCCACGTATAGGAAAGTCGGGATCGAAACTGGTAGGTCCTGATCGATCTCAACGGTTAGTTTGATGAATTCTTTTTTCATTTCTCTATTGGTTGACAATTTAATGACTCTTTTAAAACTCTTCACTTTAAAAGTGATTTCAAACAATAGAGACCGAACCACCGGGTCATTGACCAGCCCGGATAGGAACCGTCAGGTCATTGATGGGACTGGTCTGGGACCGCCCGATTGTCGATCGGAACCGAACACAAATCGTCGGGTCATTGCCGGACATGATAGGAACCAACGGGTCGTTGATCGGATAAGACGGGACTGCTGAGTGGTTGAGCGGACAGGACGGAGACCGCCAGGAAGTTGACTAGACGGGACGGGGGCTGTCGAGTCATTGACCAGAGTCACCAGACCATATCGGACCAAAACTGCCCGATCATTGATCCGACCGAACAAGTACCGTGTGATCGTGGATCAGACCGAACACGGATCATCGGGTCATCGATCGGACCATATAGGGACCGTCGGGTCGTGGACCAGAGTGGGATCGTTGAGTCGCCGATCGGACCAGGCAGAGGCCGTCGGGTTGTGGACCGGACCAACAAGGGACTGCCAGGTCGTCGACCAAATCGAAATGGGACCGTCGGGTCGTCGATCGGACCGGACCGGGATTACTACGTCATCGACTGGACTGACAGGGACTGTCGGGTCAATACTGGTCCATCCCTCTGGGTCATTGACCGGACAAGATAGGGACCGTCGGGTCGTTAGCCGGACTGGACTAGAACTGACATCAGAGCGGGACCGTATCCACCACTAGGCGTTGTCCAAATTTTGAAAACTAGTAAAAGTCATTTGTCCAATTCATTAAGGAAAAAAGAGATATCTTTTTTGTTTTTGGTTTGAAGAACGATTTGGTAAACACATTTCTCTGTTTCTTTTCTCCAGCTTTCTAGCAATTTTCTTTGGTAAACTCTTTTTCTATTTTCCTTTTCCAGATTTTCAGTTTTTCAGAAAACTGGAAAATATATCTGTTAGTAAACAGGCCCTAAGTCTCTCAACATGAACATCTCTATAATGTATATTGAAGCCAAAATTTCTCCGAACAGCCTCACACGATAAAACATATCGACAATCATAATACATATTTATTTCATCAATGTCCTTTTTTCAGTATTATATGCAGCTTTTGAAAAGGCAACAATACTACGATCATGGCCCTTGTTGATGTACTTAAATAAGTACTTGATTGACTTAGCCTGATTCATTGATGTGTGCACCATATTTCATCAAAAGGTACTTGTTATGTGCTACCACATAACCATTGTGAAGCCCTATGTCATTCTTTA